CAAGCCGCTCGAAGTCATTCATCAGAAACCTCTGTCAGCAGCACCTAGACGTCTTCAAAAGATGATGATAAGATTACACCAATATGACTTAACCATCGTTTATAAGAAAGGGTCAGAGATGCTGCTAGCTGACACACTCAGTCGTCACCATTTAGACAACTCCACCGACGAAGCACGCAGCGTCGACAGCGATCTCGACCAAGTGGACAGTTTGGAAGAAATAAACGAAATACTAAATTGTGAAACAACAACCATATTCCAAGACCACACAACGAAAGATCAAGACCTACAGCAAGTCAAATCATTCATCCAGTCAGGATGGCCTGAGAGCTCCAAAGATCTATCTCCAGCAATCACCCCGTACTTCCATCTACGAGACGAACTAACAACACACGAGGGCCTCGTGTTTAGGGGAGACCGCGTCGTTATCCCAAAATCACTACGAAAGCAAGTACTGAATGAATTGCATGCAGCACACCAAGGGATCGCATCGACAAGTCGGCGAGCCAGAGAAACCGTCTACTGGCCACACCTGAACCAAGAATTGAAAGACCACATCTCACATTGCATCACCTGTGACACATTCAATTCCAAGCAGCCGAAAGAACCTCTCATCCCGCATGAAATACCAAAGAGAGCGTGGGCAAAAATCGGTTGTGATATCTTTGAATTTGAAAAGAAATCGTATTTAGTAACAGTGGACTACTACTCGAACTTCTTCGAAGTTGACCGCCTTGAAAAATTGACATCACTGGCAGTCATAAAGAAACTAAAGCCCCATTTCGCCAGGTTCGGTATTCCAAATACTCTCGTGACAGACAACGGCCCACAATTCATCAGTGATGACTTTCGAGACTTCTCTATGAAGTACCAATTTGAGAATATAACGACCAGTCCCTATCACCACCAATCCAACGGCAAAGCCGAATCTGCCGTCAAGCAAGCCAAACGAATAATTCGAACATGCAAATCATCAAACGATGACATTTACCTTGCCCTTCTTGCCCACCGAAACACCCCCCAAACAACTCATGAAACAAGTCCCGCACAGCGACTGTTTAACCGCCGTACAAAGACTCTCTTGCCCGTCTCGGAGAAGTTGCTCCAACCGAAGATAAATCCGCAAGCAAACAAACGCATCCAACAAAGACAACAGCTTCAAAAGAAATACCACGATCGTGGCGCAAAAGAGCTCAGCCCGTTGCGGAAAGGAGAAGTGGTGAGACTACAGCCAACCCGAATCGGCGAAAAGAAATGGAAGAGAGGGATAGTTGTACGCAAAGTCGGGATAAGATCATATGAAGTCCAATGCAAAGGGTATACCTATACTAGAAACAGAAAATTCATCTGATGATCAAGGTTACCTGCAGAATTCGGTAGTGACAACGCAGATGAAGAGATGTCAGACATGTCCGAAGCGGAAGAGAACGTTTCTGTACCTACTGACAATGATCTGCCCCAAGAAAACCCTCAACCAGCACACTTAGAACGCAATGAAACAAGTACCGAAACAAGTTCTACAAGCAAAACACGTAGTGGACGGTTAGTTAAAAAACCTGACAGGCTAGGTATAGACACATAAGGGAACGCGGTATATATACGGTATATTTATAAAGAAAAAAACTTTCAGAGAAGAGGAGATGTTGGACATTTACTGTTGACATTAATATTTTAGTTATATTTGCTCGGACAGGGAAAACTGGGAACGAACGAAAAGGGCGCGAAAATAGTTGTAGGACACGGGATTTTAGAGATAGGGTATATACATGTTAGGAGTTTATATTATGCGAATTATACTATAAGAAATAAAACTATCAAAAGTTAATGAAAGTGAGAAGCAAATAACAGAGTGCTGCCACTCAATGGGTTAATAAGAAGCCATTTACATACAATAAGAAAACTTACCACAGCTCTTGACAGCATCATTATCTGAAGTACCTTTATCTGGAGTATCTTTCTCTTCATTCCCTGTACATGTAATAGAACATAAAACATTTAAATGTATTGGTATACAAATATTGAATGTTTTTATGAGTGCAATGGTAAGAATATTTTCATTTGGTGAAAGATGGAATGTTCCATTCAACTCAGCTGTTGCCTCGTTGAATGGAACATTCCATCTTTCACCGAATGAAAATATTCTTACCATTGCACTCATAAAAACATTCATTGATTGTACCAGTTATATTTGTTAATTAAATTTCTGTGAAGCAAATAATTATAGAGACAAGTCACCCCGACAAACATAAACTGGCAATAAGTTGAATAATATGAAAGGTTTGCTTCTAATTCATGGTGGATACTAATTGCATATCACTGTGTAAAGAAGATAGGAAAAACATTATGCAATAATTTTCTTTAGTTAAAGTGGAAACATTCCAAAGTGGAAACATTGTTGTTTTGTATGAACGTATGGCGAACGTTTTGAAAGCCAGTGTCTGAACACTTTTAACTCTTTCCCGACAACCGGTTTCGTATTACATTTCGATACAATTTTTCTAATATAAATATCTCGGCGAGTATTTACCCCCCTATTAAATAAATGCCACCATTGAAATCCTCACAATATAACCTTTCGAACGGGGGGTCAAGTGCCGTCAAAACATTACACAAACCGAAACAATCATATATTTATACTCGCCGCTTCGCCAAACATTCAAACGAGAAAAAGTTGAATATATTCTAAACTTTGGTGTCATTTCTTGAAAGGATATGTGTAAAATACTCTTTGTATTCAAGCGCTTTCGTGTAGAAAGTTTCGTATGTATACGCCGACTAGAAATATTTATTCTGAATTTTTCAAGGTATCGGGTTTTACTAGCACGCGCTTGTATTACGTAATACTTGGCCAATAAGGAGCTCCCTTTAGCCGGGATGACGTAAAACTCACGCGTATGGGTGCACTTTGACCTGTAGAATCCATTTCTGGCATTTCCAGAGTCACGCGATGCAAGCGTCGCATTGTTTTGACGTTTTTTCTTCGTATTTCCGGTTGGGATTAACGCATATTCGGAGCAGAAATACAAAATTCGGCACTAAATGTCGAATTTTAAAGATAGAAGCTTGAAAATAACACTATACGTGTTATTTTTAACTTCTTATTGCAGCAAGAACATCAGAATGAGCATACGTCCCAATGGAACGAAGTTATATTCGGCGAAAGGTATGTTTATAATTTGTCAGTAATATTGCGTAATTTGATCATATTTATTCATATACGAGCTCGTTTGACTTTCAAAGCTCATAAATCGCTATAATGTTGCCATTCACTAAATCTATCGATAGGAATGAGTAGCTATCGTTACACTGAATCGAATGGTGGTATTTTGGTCCACGTAGCATTTACCGAACTGAAGATATGAACCGCAAAAATGATAAATCATGAGTGATTTGTTTAATAGGGACCTGTCGGGAAAGAGTTAAGACTTTTAAATCATATTTTTTTTGTATATATTTTAAGTATTTTTGTTTATTATCATTAAAAGATAAAAGTCTAACACATGGCGCCCAACGTGGGGCACTGGCTTTAGGCGAACGAGCGAGGAATCGACGTAAACGGAATATATTTTGTGGAAAATATGGTTGACGAACGCGAAGAAACTTTAAAGCGACTGCGAGCAATATGCTCTGGGAATCGAGGGGTTGTAACGAAGTACAGCAAAGAAGCTACGGAATTGATTGGATCAGGGGACGATTCGGCGAAAGGAAGGTTGTGTACTATAGCGAGTTTGTTAGACGAAAAAATCGATCGATTGAAACAATTAGACAATGACATTTTGAAATTGTGTGACGTTGGTGACATTGAACGAGAAATCGAAGAATCCGAGGAGATTTTTTCCCGAGTAAGCGACGTGCGACGCGAAATTACGAAGTAGTCGACAAAACGATAAACCGGCGAAAATACCGGCTGTAACCGAAGAGTCGACAAAACAATAAACCGGCGAAAATACCGGCTGTAACCGAAGTAGCACAAGAAAACCCGCCGATTACAACGACCCATGGAGAAATTGTTGAGGAATCGAATATTAACGACGTGTCGATAGGCGGATTATCAACAAATTTATCGCAAAATACATCGCCTGGGAAAAGTACGCCGTCATTTTCGAGATCAAGCTCATCTTACCTAAATTTAAAGGGGACATAACAAATTATCGCACTTTTTGGGAGACGTTTGAAAGTGCAGTTCACAACAACGAGGAACTTACTACGATTGACAAGTTCAACTATTTGTTTTCTTTATTGGAGGGACAAGCTTGCCATTACCGAGGACAATTACCACGCAGCAGTTGACATTTTACAAGAGCGCTTCGGCAAAACGCAGCAAATAATTGCTGCGCATATGGACGAACTATTGAAAATATCTGCTTGTGATGGTGATAAATCAAAGCAATTAAGGTTTGTTTATGACAAGGTCAGTGTGAATGTGTGTGCATTAGAAGCTTTGGGGGTACAATCAGATCAGTATGGGAGCCTCCTTATCCCCGTAATTATGTCGAAGTTACCGAGTGATGTTCGCTTGCAAATAGCTAGAAAGACTGAGAAAGATGTGTGGGTAATGAAAGACTTATTGGAAATTATTAGAAGGGAAGTGGAAGCACGAGAACTGAGTGAGCAAGTCAAGGCAAATAGTGAGATCAAAAAACCTCCCCCATTTCCTCCAAAATTTCCCACAGCATCAGCTCTGACCGCCCAAGAAGCTACTGGCGTATCTATTAAGTGTGCATATTGTGGAAAGCAGCATTACTCGGCTTCATGCGAGACAGTGGTGCAATTAAGTGAACGGAAGGATATATTAAGACGAGCGGGCAGATGTTTTGTTTGTTTGCGTATTGGTCACCGTAGTAACCAGTGTTTTCCAACTCGTAAGTGTCGACGTTGTCAGGGAGCCCATCATCAATCGATATGTACCGAAAGTCCAAAATTTCCAGAGCACAAGAAGCCTGGGGCCGAGACCAAGCCCGATGAAAATGCACCTAAACCTGGTGGTTCAAATAGTAACACCATCACAGCCAATCAAATCTCAACAACTGCTACTCGAAGCAAGTGCAAGGTTTTCCTGCAAACCGCTACAACGTATGCATGTTCTCCAAATACTAGCTCTGTAGTACCCGTTAGAGTCTTGATGGATAGCGGCAGTCAACGAAGTTATGTAGCTGAATCATTGAAGCAGAAGTTGGGTCTTGTTCCTGATAAGACTGAGGTACTAAATCTAAATACCTTTGGTGACGACAAATTTCGAAAGCAACGATGTGACCAAGTACGACTGCGACTACAGGGTCAGACCAAGGACATTGAAATCTCGGCACTTTGCTTTCCCAAGATCGGTTCTCCACTGTCAATGACATTAGATATCGAGCGTTATCCACATCTAGATGGTTTAGTTCCGGCCGACCAAAGCCTACTTGACAATTCCGCCCCGGACATTGACATTTTGATTGGCTCTGATTATTATTTTGAAGTAATTATGGGAGAAATCCGACGAGGGGACAACGGTCCTGTTGCAGTGCAAAGTGAGTTTGGCTGGCTGATCTCAGGAAATGCTCAAGCATTGAACACCGGAAATAACGAGACACAGACAAATCTCATGTTAGAACGATCAGAACATACCTACCCTGCTGATCTCTTCATGAAAGAGAACGAAGATGAATTAACGAATGCTGTTCGAAAGTTTTGGAACACAGAGTCTGTTGGAATTATCGAGCCAGATGAATCAACCGAAAGTGAATTTCTGAGAGGAGTACAATTTAATGAAGTGAGCCAACGATATCAAGTGAGTCTACCGTGGAAAGAGGGATGTCTACCGATCGAAAGTGGTTTTTCAGCTTGTCTCAGTAGATTACGACAAACTCATTCTCGTTTGAAGAAGGACCCGGAACTTTTGAAAGAGTACTGTAATGTTATTAAGCAGCAGCAAGACCTGGGAATTATCGAGCGAATTGCCGAAAAACCCGGACACGATGAATCCGCGCATTACTTACCCCATCATGCGGTTGTGCGTCGCGAAAAGAGTACCACGAAGGTTCGAGTTGTGTTTGATGGGTCTGCCAAACATGCTGAATCGACATTTTCAATCAACGAATGTCTCGAAAAGGGTCCCAATTTGGTGCCTCATCTTTTCGATGTACTGGTCAAATTTCGAGGATATCCAATTGGAATTGCTGCCGACGTCGAAAAGGCTTTTCACCAGATTGAAATACATCCTGATGACCGAAAGATGCTTCGATTTTTATGGTTTGACGACATATTCAAAGAACATCCCGAGATTGTTCAATTTCAGTTTTGCCGCCTGGTGTTCGGGCTTACGCCGAGTCCGGCTATTTTGTCATCCCTTATACAGCATCATTTAGAAAAGTACGAACAGAAAGAGCCAATGGTCACCGCCTTGCTTCAAGATTCGTTTTATGTAGACGATTTTGTTGGCGGTTCTACACATGATGATCGGGCAATTGAAATTTACGAGAAGTCGAATGAAATCATGAAAGACGGTGGTTTCGGGCTGCGAAAGTGGACATCGAACTCGAGGGTGTTCCAAGAGAGAGTTGCCGCCGAAGAAAAGCAAATCAAACCGTGTGAAGAAGCGATAAAGATTGTGAAACCCCTCGGGAGCGAGCGTACTGTCGAGATAATTGAAAAATACGTAGAATCGGGCGAAGAAAACGAAAGCGGGTTAATGCCCTCTTCAAGCAAGTTTTATCGAGATATTACAGAACCAGCCACATTGGAAGACCAGTCGGTTTCTGACCCATCGACAGAAGATGAACATTCTTCCGTTAAGATCCTAGGAATACCCTGGAACACTGAAAGCGATGAATTCGAGTATGACTTAACTAAACTGATAGACTTTGTCAAAACGCTTCCATCGACAAAGCGCGCCGTGCTACGATTATCTGCCAAGATTTTCGACCCGTTAGGTCTTCTAGCTCCGTTTACTATCGTAATGAAGTTGTTGTTTCAAGAGTTATGCATCGATGGTACGAACTGGGACGATCCGTTAGTTGGAAAGTTATTAGATTCTTGGAACCAAATTATTAACGATCTTTATGCCATGAGAACCATTAGAGTATCACGATGTTACTTCACTTACGCAAACAACGATAGCTTGTCGTATGAACTTCACAGGTTTTGTGACGCTTCGTCCAAAGCATACGCCGCGGTAGTATATTTACGGACAGTGCATTGCAATAAGAAAACCGAAGTTTCCCTAGTCGCATCGAAAACAAGAGTCGCTCCTATTAAACGTCAGTCAATTCCGCGTCTTGAGCTCCTAGGTGCTACCATCCTCGCACGTTTAGTAAGTTCGGTGCAAAGGGCTATTTCAGCTTTGCCCCTTGTTCCCAAAGTTTTTCTGTGGACTGATTCCCGTACTGTGTTATGTTGGGTTAGAAACCACAAGGCGTGGAAACCGTACGTACAACACCGTGTTAGTGAAATACGAAAGCTTACCGACATAGAATCCTGGAAGTTTTGCCCGGGAGAAAAGAATCCCGCCGACCTACCCTCCCGTGGAATTCGTGGAGCAGATCTATTTGAGAATGAAACTTGGTGGAATGGAGCAGAATTTCTTCAGTTCTCGAAGGAAATGTGGCCATCTGAACCAGGAACAACCGAAATCGAGGAGAACGAGGCCAACGGTGAAATGATGAAACCAAAGACACCGCCTTCGATTACGAGATCATTGAACAGTATATCGAAAACGGTTTTGCCACCGAATGTTGAAGCGACCATTGACTGTAAACGCTACAGCAGCCGTACGAGGTTGTTACGAGTTACAGCGTGGGTAAAGCGATTCATCAACAACGCGAGAAGGCGTCGTTCAGCATCAGATCTACTCACCGCCGACGAATTGAAAACAGCAGAAAAACTCTGGATAAAATCGATCCAAGCGAGCAGTTACAAGGACGAAGAGCAATATCTGTCTCAGGTCAACAAAAAAGAGCCTCTATTAGTCAAGCAGTTGGGGTTGTTTCAAGATCAAGAAAACATTATTCGTTGCCATGGTCGAATTGGTAAATCGTCATTGTCGTTGTCAGAGAAACAGCCGATACTCCTTCCTCCGAAACACCATTTTACCGACCTGATTATCCTGGATCATCACGAGACTGTTCATCATAACGGAATCAAGGAAACCTTGAACAGCATCAGAGAGAAATATTGGATTGTAAGGGGACGGGAAGCAGTGAAACGTATAGTAAGACGATGCGTGCTCTGCAAAAAAGTTGGAAGGGATGTCATTTAATATCCCCAAATTTGCACCCCTACCACCGAGTCGAGTTAGTGATGCACCCCCCTTTACAAATACCGGAGTTGATTCGAAGTCGGGACAACGTGGTGAGAGCAGCGAAGGTTCGTGTTGTCAACAGCGATGAGGGAAGATCGATTGTGTTACGACGACCCATACAGCACCTAATACCGTTAGAGTTACCTCCTACATCCGAGAAAAAAGATCAAGTATCCGAAGTCGAAGAAACTCAACTTGTAAAGCAACCGGATCTCGTTGTTCCAGCCTCCAGGAATGATGCAAGACCGAGAAGAAACGCTGCTATTATTGGAGAAATGTTACAAAAAGCGAATAAACATTGAACGCTATAATTTTCATATTGTGTTATTATATCATTTATGTACCATAAATAATACCCCTCGGGAGTGTAAAGAAGATAGGAAAAACATTACGCAATAATTTTCTTTAGTTAAAGTGGAAACATTCCAAAGTGGAAACATTGTTGTTTTGTACGAACGTATGGCGAACGTTTTGAAAGCCAGTGTCTGAACACTTTTAAGACTTTTAAATCATATTTTTTTGGTATATATTTTAAGTATTTTTGTTTATTATCATTAAAAGATAAAAGTCTAACACACACTGTGAATGACATCATTTTACATCCAATCAATTAAAAACAGAATACTGAAGATAAACATGAGCAGGTCATCTTTTAAGAAATTACAACGACTATGAGAAAGCAGGCAGATATAGCTTTTTGAACAAGGATCAAAGGGGCCCAATCAATGATGCCAATTAAATTGCTTCACTTATACAATAGTTCAGTACCAATCGAGGACTCCACCCTCTCCCTCCCCCTTTCTCACTTCTTGAAATTTTCCAAAACAGAATCAAACAGAGGGAATTTGCACCTGAAATTTGCATTGATAATCTGAGTAGCCTGTTCATTTACTTACTTCTGTACACCTCAATTTCTTTGTGATACACCTCATTGTAAGTTTCAGAAAACCCACTGAAGGATACCCAGGAATGATTACTAGTATATTAAAAATAATAATTACATTAAATAACAAAAAGTAAGCTGTAAAAACTGAAAAATAGGGAGAACACAGGGCAAAGTATTGTTTTAATTTGTGAGTTGACAACCTCGGTATTAGTTGGATACTAATGTATCAGTCAATTCCAGGTGCGACCCCCATTTGTATTTACAACGAAAAACTATCTGCAATAAAAGCAAAGTGTGTCACAGCTTTTCGTCAATGTTTTCATCCGAAGTGAGCACGGTAGTTTTCCTTGTTTTGTTTTTTAAATGAACAGAGGTATAAATATAATTGTTAAAACACATGTAATTAATTTAATATGATGTATGTAGACCTACAGTGATGACATCCACTACAGTGATGACATGTTGTCAGGTATTTGTGGGTTACTAAGTATTAAGCAAAAAAATGAAATTGCACAAGAAGTCATACCTTAAAGATGGAATCCACATGTACAAATCAACATGCATGTATGTGCAATTGGTGACCTCCACTACAGTGATGTTATCAGCCACATGTTTTGGATAGTATCTGGACCCATCCTTGCTGGAATATTTGGTGATACCATATTTAATGTCACAATGTTTGCATTCGAGTGTCACTTTCGATACAGCAACTGGACCACTCATGCCATATAATCTTGCACTTGATGGTGAATTGTGCATCGTCAGGCCGCCGTCACAACTCAGACAGGAATTTACAGGCGGAGATAAAAACATGGATGCCAACAGACCGCCGCTGGCTTTCTGAAATGCACCAAAAATGTGCTCCTTGTTTAGCGAATTCGAAGCAATGAATTGACGACAGTGGCTTTCAAAAAAGGTTAAATATGAGTCGAGATCTTTCTTCGTCATAGTAGCAAACGGCAAAGGTTGCGATTTCGACAACACTTGATGGATGAGCGCTGTGCGACGTAGCCCAACTGCACAACCCCGAGGTTGCGACATGATATTGTTTGGTACAAAACACACAGCATTTCGCAAAGCTACTACTCCGTTTGTTGTGAGCTTCGTCGCCAACAAAACTATCGCTTCTTCTTCGTCAAGACCGACATGAAGGAAATCCGACAAGCATGTATCGCGCAAAGCATGGAAATGATTTTTGACGCTTGCAATTTTTGCTTGGTTTTCGGAACAGCGGCGTTGTACGTTCTCCATCGTAAACGGGTTCGCTTTCTTTCTTTTTTTTTCCATTCGGAAAGCTTTTTAACACAATATATATGTATATGTATATTATATAGCTTTTAAACTAGTGAATAAACGAACAAAACGTGGTCGAAACTCGGGTTACTCGATAATATAAGATACTTGAAGTCTTGAAATTTGAGAATAATATAATAACCGGAAACGCTGCAGGGCGAAGACCACTACATTCATTAGTCCCCTAGGAATAAACATGAAAGTTAAAATTTCTTGTCCTATATTAGGCATCATATGGCCACTCTATATTTATATATATTTATTAATTTCAATGCAAACTACGTATTTATTAATGTCAGGCAAGCTTTCCCTAGATAAGCCAAAAAATTGCCATTTCTTTTCTTGAAATTAAATATTGTTTATATGAACAATATCCTGATTATGGTAAACTATGTACCGGTACCAGATAATATAAATTCCTGCCTGCTCAAATCTAGGAAGTGTGGGGGGCCATTGGGCAAAGCAGGGTCACTGAGGACCTGTTTATATGATCCCGTCTAGATGGGACATTTTCATCCCGCCCAGACAGGAAATTCGCCCAGTGTTTATGTGGGCAAAATACAGTGCTGGGATGAAGCCATTTAAGTGCTTGATGTCATATTTTTGTTGTGGACATTCATTCCACATCGAATGCATCCTGCCCAACATCAGCGATTGCCCAGTTTGTCAAGCAACAACGTTGGCAAATGTTGAAGCTCTTGGAAGGTCTTGGAAAGACAGCAAATATTAATGCTGTTTTTCCGGCGACCCACTTTGAAGAGGGCTAAAGCGACGAAGAAAGTGAGGCAGCCATTGACGATTGACGACGGACCAGAACGAAACCCTCATGAACAGTTTGTTAGCAAAAATAAGCCTTTTGCAAAGGTCTGACAATCGCCATTTTGCCAACCAGATATGTAATTAGTGTTTATGAATTATGAGTCATGCGATTCTGTCCTGGAACGTTGTGACGTATTTCCGATGCGAGATGAGATCAGATAGGTAGTATTTAAAAACATGTTGGCTGTGGTGTGAGGAAAATAAGTTTAAACTGCCAAATCTACCAATTTTTTTTATGTGTGTGTTAAGATATTGCAAGTGAGAGTCTGCTATTTTACGCGCATTTAAACACTGTTATTCAAACATAAATATTTCGTGTTCTAGATCGAATTTAAAAAATCCCCCGAGGAAATTAAAGAAGAAAGCATGCTTTATCAGAATTTGTCAGTTTTGGAGTAAGAAGTTTAATATCGAATGTCACGGAGGGCATAGAACAAGGTGTTATTCTCTCACTCCTTTTGTTTATATGTTTCGAATTTCAGGCATTCTGATTGGTCAAGGACGCAAAATGTAAACAAACACGCTGATTGGCTAACATTATTTGCCCTTGTTCATCTATTGACCTCTATCACCAAATTTTAAAATTAAATTCACTGAATGATTTTGAAGTTTTCTAGATTATTGAAAAGAACTTTATAGGTACAAGAAATGGGGCAAAAACAGTTGAATTAAGCAAGATGCAAGTAATAATGAACAAGACCGGGTCACTGGATGGTATTTCAGCACACTGGTGGACATGCAACCTAATATCTGTATAGTTTTACACTGTACTGCAGGCCTTAAAATATCGGTCAGTAGTGCCGTCCGCCAAAATGTCCGGTACCTTTCATAATGGGTCGGACATTTTTAATATTATGTCCGATGGCCTTATGTTTAGTTTGGCGCGAAAATGTATTCGTTTAAGATCGTAACAACGCTAAATTTTGGGCAGTTATGCATTGATACTTTTGTATTTTCAATCCAAAATGGACTTTGCTTGCCAAAACAGAAGTAAGACAATAACAATTCGAGAAATTCTAAAAACTAAAAGTTGGCGCGTAAGAAGCAAATCGTATGCCGCTTAGAAGTGCTGCAAGGATTCATTGCCCACTTAATCTAAATTCATCGTTAAAATTTGGAATACGAAATGAAGAATGGATCATGTCAGTCCATAATCTATAAATTATATATGTTAATCAATAATGTGAAGACTTTTTACAAATGTAATACGGCCCAGCAAGCCTTTTTTGTTTTTCTCAAACACAAAGTTATTGTTCACTATTGTTCATCTTCTTAGAGAGTACATTGTAGTTCAGTTTAATTATAGTTCCTTTGATCACTATAGTTCATCTTCTTAGAGAGTTCATTGTAGTTCAGTTTAATTATAGTTTCTTATGGTTCCTCCTCAGAATCAGAGAATAAACTCTGACTTTCGGTTTCTTCTGTACTTTCTTCCTGCACGTCTTCGTCTTCTTTATCACTTTCATGGTTTTCTTTTTCTGCAGTCTCGCTGTCGCTTTCGTCTGACGACATAGTCGAAAGCCTTTTGTGTGATTTGCGTGCCGTATATGTTCGCTTTTGTTTCTCATCGTGTGGCCGCCGTTGTTTCGCCGAATTCCATAATTCAATGGCGGGCAGTGGGTCATACTCCTCCCATGTCGGGCCTTCTTCCATGATGCGTAGAATGTTTTCCAACCTCTGAAGGGAAAGGGAACAACGGAAATTTGTTTTCACGCGCTTTAATTTGGAGAACATTCTCTCGAGCTTGGCGTTAGATACAGGGATAGTAAACAACAGTTCGACTAAGATAAGCGCATCTTTCCATCCTTTACTCCTTGGTGCAGAAAATATCTTACGCCATGTGATAAGATATGATTGGCCGGTCACCCCGATCGTTTCAACAGCAAAGTCGACGATCTCATGCCATTGGTTAAGTAGGTCGGGAACAGTCACTGACATACCGCCAGACTTAAGTGGAACTTCGAACTTGTCATACACTGCAAAAATGGCGTCTTCGGCAAATTCGTTGTCGTCTTTCCATCCCTCGCAATCAAGAATTTGTACAACGGCGTCGAGTATCTCTTGGCCTTCATCCTCTTGTTCAAGTCGATTAGTCAAGCATTGTCGAATCTTCTCCGAGTACTCGTTCTTTTTGCTTTCAACAGAAACCTTATGTCTCTCGAATGATGAGAGTTCGACGTTTTGATAGAAAAACTGAGCATCCACTTCCTTAATTTTTGAGAGAAAGTTTCTAACATTCGGTAGCTTTTCGAACGCCTTTTTCTCAAATTGTGCCAAACGTTCCCTGGCTTTGTTCAATGCTCTCGCGGTCTGCACTGGATCTATTTTCTCCTTCTGAAATGTCAATGATAGAATCGACGGTATAGTTAATATATCAATAAACAAGGCAAGTAATAGTGGTATTCTGGAGCTCTTCCAACGTTTAAGGTAACCTTTCAGCTTGGCTTTGTCTTTGCTTGTAATGGTTTCATCTTCTGTCATGGTTTCCAGATGCTGAATGTAAAGACCCCATTTGTCTAAACACATCTTCATTGCAGCCAACTTGTGAGAAATCCATCTCGACCCCGATGATTTCTTCGGCTTTATTCCTCCTTCGTCAAACTCCATGGTTTCTTTGTAAAGATCGTGTAGTTCCTTAAGTTGACGCACTTTCTTTGGCGCTTTCTTATAAAGGAGATACATCTTCAACAGCATATCATCAACATCCTGAAACTCCGTGGTCTTTAATGCGTCACTGAGTGCCAACTCGAGACGATGAGCGACGCACCATATGAACACCATCCATGGGGATTTCTCTTGAAGTCGGGTCATGATGCTGTTGTTACATCCACGGTTAACGCTAGCCCCATCCGATGTGAAACCAACCAACTTTTTGTGATATGGTAAAATACCAACCGAGGTTAATGAAGATGAAATAGACTCTTCAACGTCGTTAAAACTTTCTTCAATAGCGTCGGTTATTCCGCCTGCATTTCCATATTTTACCTGGAACAAAAATTTGTTATTAAAACTTAACAAATAACGTTTGTTTCATTAGAGAAAATTGAAAATTATACCCATGGACAAATGTATCATTTGACAATGTACAAACAAATTACCTGTTTCACACTTAAGAATGAAAGCTTTACTTCCACGGAATCTGATCCAACAGGTTGTGGATCAAAATGAAGACAGTAGATTACCTAGAAATAAGGTGCAGAATCCAAAGTATATATACCCATTGAAAATTAAGGAGTCGATTTAATACATGGGGAGTTTTCAGCGCAGGCTGAGTTTTTGCCCAGTTAACCGAGCTGAAATTTCAACCCGGCCTAAGGCTAAGGATAAAATCCTATAAAAATACAGTGTGCGATTACATGACATTTATTCATCTACAATTCAGCAATTTTAGCCCGGGTTGAAAAAAACAAACAATCGTTTAGATGGCTTTATTTTGCATGTTTGTTTCAACATTACTTTATAATAACTACAGTCTACAGTTTAGTTACAATTGCATTTCGTCTGAAATGCAAATTCGTCGCCGAGTTATATGTTGCGAGATAAGTTGAATATACGTCGCATAAAAATGTGCAACATAACGCGACTTCGAGTTATTTTATTTTATATAAATAACTCGAAGACGCGTTTTTTTCGGATTATCCGTCTGAGTTGGACGAAGTATAACGCGATAATACTGCTATATTTTGATTACTGTAGCTTTTTTGGACTAACTGCAGCGAATATCTGCGCGACAAAATGCAGAAAATGCGAAACAGGGTTGCAAGGGTCATCACTGGCAGACCATATGAAATAGCAACAAAAGAAATATTTAAGGAATTAAATTGGCAACCTTTAGCCGATCGATGGGAGAAAAATAAGTTAGTGGTTCTGTATAAAGTGAAAAATAGTGAGCTACCAGAAAGTATGAACCAATTTAGTGTTCGAAATCGCTAATAATCAAAACTACAATTTACGCGGCAAGAGTAATATTTTCTTTTACAAAAACCAAAAACAAATTACATGAAAAAAAGTCTCAGTTATAATGGAGCAATAGCGTGGAACAATTTGTCAAATAATGTAAAAGCAACAAATATGTCAATTGGCCAATTTATGCCTATGCTTATTTCTGAAAGTTGCAAGATTGGGGCGTATCCTATTAGAGCATTTTTTATGGCGTGTCACGCTGGTGCAAACGACTGTATCTGCAGACTTGTTTGTTTACGTTTTAAAAGTCCAGGTTCCACGAGAAATCGTTCTTGTTTCAAGGCAAACTATTCAAAGTTTGCTATAATGAACACGGTCATTGGTTTACGAACAATTGTCAATTTCCAGTGAAACCGGGACCGTTTAAAACGTAAACAAAAAGGGAAAAGTCGCACAACGAACTTCCGCACCCCGTTTTGAAAAAGGAACAAAGCTTATATTATACCTCGTTTTCTACGGTAGTGGTATCCATGGATCCATCACATAATACACTGTAAAATTTGGCTTTTGCTAAATCGGCATTCAGTTGGTGTTTAAGTTCTTGCCCCATAAAGTCTATGAAAGTACCCACCGATGGATCTGTAAGGTATTTCGTACCGATTTCAACTCCATGTTTAGATTCCAGGTTCAGAATGTTTTTGCATGTACTGATGGGTAATTCTTCCTTGACCACGAAATATGCGGTCTCGAACTTAGTTTTAGTTTTTCTTAACGTAGATGGATCCATTTTATTGTGATTTTGTAACCCGGACACTACATCAGTATTTCCTTTGTCGCAGGATTTTGCAATTTTTTTTGCGCGCTGTTCGATTTCTACTCCACTGGCCTTCAGAAAATTACCATGAGCCACGGTGTGAGGATGTTGTGGATCACCATTGATATTCGTTGCGTGATCTTTTACTGCTGAAACTCTGTAATTCGTTGAACCTTTGATATAAATGTCTGAGTAATTGGGCAAGTTCTTGATTTTGTCTTCAAACATGATACAAAATTTACATTTAAGATTCCTTGCCTTTCCTTCAGCATCAACATCGTATGTTAACCATTCTGCTGCCGAATATTCTGATAAATCGGACTTCCACTTTTCTACGGTAGACGTTTTGACTGTTCTAACTTCTTTTGAACTTGAGGCACTAACATTGCCATGTTGTTTGGGGTTTCTTCTTGCTTTCGTAAAAGAACTCGACGACGATGTTGAGGGCGTCTTGTTTGATTTGCTGAACATCGAAGATATGGTTTTCTGTACTTTTCGGGGAGGTTCAGATGTTGATGCCGATGGAGGTTTAGTACACTTCTTGCAAACACTTACTCTTTTCGCTTCTTCATTATAACCTTTAGTGCCAGGATTAGCTGGCGAGGAACAAACGTTACAAACTACAACATTGCAGGACAAACAACTATACTTTGTACTCCTTTCTTTGCAAAAGGAGCACAGCGGTTCTTCATCTTTAGAGCTCATTCTCTCGGTAAAAAAACCCTGTCCATCGAACCTGTTTCTGAAATTCAGTTTTTTCAAATTTAAAAAGAAATGCGACTTTTTTCGAGTAAAAGGGCACACGAAAAGTAATAAATTATTTAGCGTGTTTTTATAAAAGCTATAGGAAGCCAATTAACTGTTGTTTATATGACTTCAAAGATGCCGCTGCTGCGCTGCAGGAAGCTGTCAAAACAGTACTATAATTAGAACAAAATTGTAGTTATTTTGACGGCTTCTTGGTCTTGGATTTTCTCATTTTATAATCTATAATACTATATAAACACGACTCAAATTCATAGTTTCGTACTGCTAACCAACCTGTCACGCTTAGCGGGCCATATAGAACAATTCTGATAAACATTTACAGGGTACATTTACTTAAAATTTGGTCGGACATCAACTACACTTCGGTCGGACAAACAATAAACCTCACTTTTCATTCGGTCGGACAGAATGTCCGGTGGTTTTCTCTTTACGTCGGACAATTTCACGAATGGGTCGGACAATGTCCGTGACCGACCGATATTTTAAGGCCTGGTACTGGAAAAATAATGTCAAGGAATTTGTAGAGATTCGGAATGAAAACTCCATATGGTTTATTCACCAGCATGCATGAATCATTTTATGTTATGAATATTTTTTAAAAATTATTCTCACTTTAGATAATTATATATTAATTTTCAATATCATAAATGAATATGTAGTTTACTCTGTAGCTTTTGATTATACAAGTTATAATTATATATCAGCAAATAATGACTGGTCTCTCTGAAATCCATGTATAGAAAGGTTCAAATTTGACTTCCACTTGGCAGTTGCATCCGATTGTTTGATTGGATAAATGAAACTTATCTGGTTAATAGTTAATGATAGCAATAGCAGTAGCTAGTGGAAGTCAAATCTGATCTCTCTATTATTTTGTGAAGATTTTCTCTAGTCACTTCAATCCAGGGTTGCCCATGCAACTTGATTAGCACAGCTAGCTCTTCAAGTTGGAGGTCCAATTCTTAGGATTCTGCAAATTAATTCTAGAAAACTGGCTTTGGTTTGGGCTAAGCAAAAATTATCACACTGTTTACAGATTTAATTATCATGCTGATTTGGTTGTTTAACAGTTAAAGTCCAGGCTGCATGTTTTTTTTGTCCTGCATATGGCAGATGGGACAGTTCAGTTTTCAAGTGTTTATGTGGGGAATTAATATTAATCCTGGCTTCTGAATGAAGGTCTTGCCTGCTTTATGCGAGAGTGCAGGCTCTATACGAGATTCCTATTGCTACACAGCATGATCTCAGGGCTCTTCCTCTGAAACAACACTTGGTTGCGATATCCAGAGCTGCATAATATAGTGGACCGTGGGACCATTGGTCCCAGAAAACTTTTGAGGTTGGCAGAAAAAATGGAGGGTAAAACTTAATGGATAAAAAATCCTCTATGCAGTTGTTATAATTGATTTCATCTGCTGTATTAGCTACTTCTGAAAATACCACTCGAGTTATATATGAATACAACTCATTTAACAACTACAGTATGTAGATTAAAAAGTCTACGACTGTGGTGATTTCTTACAATGTAGTAAAAAATCCAAGCAATATGTTTCAATACACAACACCTTCTGCCTTTCCCATTAAGTTGATATTCATAACATATATATTAAAATTAATAAGAATCATAAATCGCAGACAGTTCCCAGTGGTCACTTTCATCATTCATTAAAATGTAAATGTTTGTTGTTAAATTAAAATATAAAGAATATTTATTCTGTAGCCATGTTTAAATACGTCTACTCTGCTGGCAGTGGTTTTGGAGCTGAGTAGAAACCACTCCGAGCAAACGAACGACTTTCTATCAAGCATGTGCAAAGATCATGTGGTGGGACGTTCGTCACTAATTTGACTTCATTTCCTGTAGTTTGACAGTTTTTTATCTCTATGTAAACAAGCGTGGCATAGTATTGTTTTATTTGTTGTCTGTCAGTTTTAATCGAACGACTTTTTATTCTACATGCAGTTAACAATTTATGTATCGGTTTTAGTATCGTTATTGTCAGCACTAAAATATTTTGAAATCTGTGTCTCACCCAACCTCGTCCCCAGGGCCTTTGAGCTGACTTCGTGCTGGAGAAGGCCCTGGCATCGGCTGACACTTTACACCCCAAAATTTGGGGTGTGAATTAATTAAGACCACTTAATTTCAATGCGCAAAATTGTTTTATTCTTCAAAATTTCCTATACTTGCTGCTCCAAGACAAGGTAAATGTTATATATTTTTAACCCGCGAGAAATAAGCTATCGGAAAATGTTTGAATCAAATTTATACGATCAGAAATTTAGAAGCTACGAGTCAATTTGGCAGCCGCTAGACTACAATTTAATTGTTTACAACATGGCAACAACATTACAAATCTTATGTAAGCTCATCCAATTTTTGTTGTAGAGACTCTGTTTGCTGATCTTTCGAAAGAAAATCTTCTAAGGATTTCAAAAATATATAATGTGTCTGGTGTTAAGGTAGAAAATAATTTTTAAATGAAGAAAAGTGAATGGACTATGCACGTCAGTCGAGACATATTAAAAATTTAGTCTAGAATGTGACCATCAAATTTCGTCGGTAAATTTGGTGAAAACTTGCTCAAACCTTTACATACTTTATATAATCTGTATCGCTATACAACCGGGAGTTCAAATATGTTTGAATGAGGTATATTGGTTGAGTATTTTAAAAATTATCCAAAGTTTTGTGCTGAGGATTTCAAAATATTTTAATACATAAACAATTAAATTGTAGTCTAGCGGCTGCCAAATTGACTCGTAGCTTCTAAATTTCTGATCGTATAAATTTGATTCAAACATTTTCCGATAGCTTATTTCTCGCGAATTAAAAATATATAACATTTACCTTGTCTTGGAGCAGCAAGTATAGGAAATTTTGAAGAATAAAACAATTTCGCGCATTGAAATTAAGTGGTCTTAATTAATTCACACCCCAAATTTTGGGGTGTAAAGTGTCAGCCGATGCCAGGGCCTTCTCCAGCACGAAGTCAGCTCAAAGGCCCTGGGGACGAGGTTGTGTCTCACCCTACAGCTACAAATTGTGCATTTGAATTTCTGTTAATCTTTTTAAATTTTTGTATTTATCCAATCAATATCAATTTTTAAAATTCGGTCTGCAAACTTTATTTGTGTTACTTAAACGTTGGAGATTGTGTTAAGGTTTTCGAAAAATTCCAATTTCCAAAGTTTCCAAATAATATAATAACGTTTCCAATAACTGTTGATTTTGACAATTATTGCAATTTTTGATTGTTGTGACCTCGACTGCTACAAATGTCAACTGATCAAAGATTGTTGTGAATGATTGTTGTGTGTAAATTTATACTTACTCTGTTGAACTCTAATGTATAATTTCAAACATGTTATTCAATATTTTTGTGAAGTTACAATATTTTTGTGAAGTTACAATATTTTGTAAAAGCTAGTATTTATATTATAGCGTGGTTACTATATTTAGAGAATGATCGTGTTGTTTTTGTACAACTGGCTTGCATTTTACCAGCAGTGCCAAGCAGTTACCCATGCACACAACAACAAAAACTTGTCAAACTTGTTTTACCAGTTTCTCATTTAATGTATCCGTCCGCGAATCTGGACGGCAGCTACATGAGACGATCATTCGTTTGCTCACAGTGGTTTCTCCTCAGCTCAGCTAGAAACCACTGCTAGCAAGGTAAAATATGCCTATTTTGGTTTCAAATCTAATGAAATGATGCGTAGAATACACTGAATTTTGTTTCGTGATCAAATTTAAACATAAGATTCCCAGTGTTTGCGTGCAGAAAATATTTTTATTGGCTTTTTGGTCCCAGAAAATAAAATATTTTATGCAGCCCTGGCGATATCATCCAGCAAATGCAAAAATGCACTACCACCGCAGTACCATGGCCGAGGATCATTTGTCATATGTTCATCGACTATGTTAACCCATTGAGTGGCGGCATGCACTGTCCACCTGACGAGTAAAATTGTCTGGCATTAGACAGAGTAAACTAACAAAGTATGGTGCATTGCCACTTAAAGGGTTAAAAACAAATACCACAGCACAATACTTTTACACAATACAACAACAATTCTTTTATATATTTAATGACTTCATATTTACATATTGGTGAAATATCAAATGAATGTCCATATATAATACTATTAGGGATGTCCATGAACTTGTCTAGCCCTGGGTACAAGGCCTAGTAAAGGTTGTGTGTGATGTTGCTCTGAGTGTATATCCACACCGGGCAGGCTTGAAAAATATGGCCGGCCATGGTGGGATTCGAACCTACGACCTTTGGAATACTAGCCCAATGCTCTGCCAACTGAGCTACACTGTCAGGACGGTTCGAGTATGCGATATTTCGGAACTGAGTCTAGTTCCTTCGATATCAGTATAATCTAATGATCATGAAATTTGCTGTGTTGGTGTAATGTACTCAGGTGAATAAGATGCTTGTGTGATGTTACTCTGAGTGTATATCCACACCGGGCAGGCTTGAAAAATATAAGAATTGTAATAAATGTAAGAATTTCATGATTATTAGATTATACTGATATCGAAGGAACTAGACTCAGTTCCGAAATATCGCATACTCGAACCATCCTGACCACGTAGCTCAGTTGGCAAAGCATTGGGCTAGTATTCCTAAGGTCATAGGTTCAAATCCCACCGTGGCCGGGCATATTTTTCAAGCCTGCCCGGTGTGGATATACACTCAGATTAACATCACACAAGCATCTTATTCACCTGAGTACATTACACCAACACAGCAAATTTCATGATTATTAGATTATACTGATATGGAAGGAACTAGACTCAGTTCTGAAATATTGCATACTCAAACCGTCCTGACCGCATAGCTCAGTTGGCAGAGCATTGGGCTAGTATTCCAAAGGTCGTAGGTTCGAATCCCACTGTGGCCGGGCATATTTTTGAAGCTTGCCCAGTGTGGATATACACTCAGAGTAACATCACATAAGCATCTTATTCACCTGAGTACATTACACCAACACGACAAATATCATGATTATTAGATTACACTGATATCGAAGGAACTAGACTCCGTTCCAAAATATCGCATCTCGAACAGACCTGACGACGTAGCTCAGTTGGTAGAGCATTGGGCTAGTATTGCAAAGGTCGTAGGTGCGAATCCCACCATGGCCAGGCATATTTTTCAAGCCTGCCCGGTGTGGATATACATTCAGAGTAACATCACACAAGCATCAATGAAATAAACTGCTTGATGCACAGTAGATTTTATAATCTTAAATATAGTTACATTCATTATTGTATGAATACCTCTATTGGTATAATAAAATATTACTTTTGACTTTGTGTAATAGTGTTTTCTAATTCTTCGACTCATGTCAAATGCACCATATTAAACTTTTCTGCAAAAATAAACGAAATTTGGAAGTACTCTCAGGAATTGAAAACATGATAAACTCTCAATTTTAGCTTTTTGAGTTTAGTGGTTACTGTAAATGTTTTTTCAAAAAAACATGTCCAATTTAAAAAACATTTTTGGAGACCTGTGGCATAGAGTTTCTACCGTTTTTGGTGCCAATTTTAATTAAATTGAATTAAACTCAGCAAATTTCACAGCAATGGGAAAAGTTAGAGATCCTCAGTGTTGTGCTTTCGGATGTTCCAAACGTAAAAAAGTCGGTCCTGATTCAAAAAGTATAAGAAGTGATAGTGAAGGGTCAAGTGACAAAGAATCAAAACTCAAAAGAAAACTTCCCAGGACATTTCATCAAAACTCCATATAGCGATGTCTACACGGTAACAGAATGGGTGTCTTGACTTCAGTAGGTAAATCTGAGTTATCGAGTCGTCCTTGGCATCTGATCAACTCATGTTCATCAAGAAATAAGTTGAGTTGATTTATAAGCTGATTTTTCTCTTTCTTCGATTTCAAGAGCTTAAACTCCGTTTCAAACACAGCCGATTGTATGCTCTTTAACCATAACATTTCTGCTTCTAACAACTCCTTTGCGTTGATTTCCACTGGCTCCATCGTACGAGCTCTCTCTTCGAGTTTCAGGTGTTTCACGAATTTCAGAACTAATGCTGTTACTCGTAATAGTTTTGTTTTAGAGCTGTAACGGTTACAGTCTATAATCGCTTCAAGATTAACGTTGGACACATCGTCTTTCTCAATTGTTCGGGGTGCGGAAGAGGCTAGTGCATGGGTCTGTTTAACAGGATTCTTCACAACTTCGTCTTTAGTAAACTCTGTTTCCTTGCTTTCTGCCGTTTGCGGCCAATCAGCTTCGGGCTTGTAAAGAAATTCAGGGCCCTTCATCGGATTTCGTTTGTTAGTTCCGATGCATTTAATCCACAAGATGGAAGATTAGCAGGGTTTTGCTTACCCGGACAATGTCGCCACAACTCTTGGTTGGTCAACTCACGAATTTCGTTTACTCGGCTCATCACGTACTGCTTCCATGGCTTGTTATTTTTTATCCCATACAAAACCGTCATTGAATCGATCCAATAAATTATCATCACATCTTATGACAAGTTCAAGGCGTTCTTTACATTCGCAGCGAGTCGTACAAGAATGTTTGCACCGAGTAATTCGAGTCTTGGGATGCTTTGCTTCTGCAACGGAGCGACTCTCGTTTTTGCCGTCACTAAATTCACATCGATATGACCATCAGAGTAACTGGATCGAATATAAACAGCAGCAGCATACGCTGCCTTAGATGCATCACTGAAGCAATGCAGTTGTATTGTCTTCGATAGACTGTTATCTTGAAAGTAACATCGCGGTACATGAACATTGTTCAAACGCTCTAGCTCGGAGATTAAAGTGTTCCATAAATTTAAATGTTCGCCGATTAACTCAAAATCCCAATTGACATTTTCAATGCAAAGGATTTGGAACAGCACCTTCCAACGTATAATAAACAGACTTAGAAATCCAAGAGGGTCGAATATCTTGCCAATTACCTTCAATAACGATCTTTTCGCGCTTCTTCAACAAGGTCGGTAAATTTGAACTCTAGCTCGTCAGACGATTTATTCCAAATAGTACCCAATACCTTAACGCTGCCATTGGTAACACCGATAGATTTACATGTTACTGATTCTGAATAAGATTGATCATCTTCGACAACATTGACACTCGAATGTTTTGGAGCAGTCTTCGTATGGATGTCCGTTTCCGGTAACTTTTCTTGAACACTGGAGGAACTCGTATTCCACTTTCGAAGGTTAAAGGCGCCCCGTTTCATAACTGTTTTGGCACTGTTTGTCAGGTCAAGCACTTCCTTTTCGTCATCGGCACCTGAAATAAAATCATCGACGTAGAACGAATTCTTTAGGATTTCGATCAGTTCAGGATTAACGTCTTTCTGCGTATCAAGATGATGGCGTATAGTTGATCCTAAGATTACTGGAGACTGTCGTAATCCAAATACTAATCTCGTGAATCTCAACTGTAAGATCTCCGAGTTCAAGTCTGCAGGGTCCTTCAACCATAAGAAGCGTAACATATCTCGATCGGGTTCATTTACAGCGACCATTAAAAACGCCTTCTCTATGTCCGCGGTCAAACCAATCTTATGCCATCTGAACTTCATAAGAATATCGATTAGCTGTGGCGTAAAATTTGGTCCAACTTCCAAGCAATCGTTCATAGAATACTGCCTATTAATAGTCTTTGCGGAGCCATCGTATACAACACGTAACTTAGTTGTGTCATGATCTGACCGAACAACAGCGTGATGTGGTAGGTAATGAATTCTGTTACTGTCCGAATCGAATTTCTCACTCTCGGTAATTTGCTCGATGATACCATTTTGTAACTGCTCACGGATAATTCCATCATACTTGGTTAACAAGTCTGGCTGGCTGACTAACCTTCGCTGCAGTGACCTTAACTGCTTGACACACAAATCAAAATCACTGGGAAGTCAAGGCATCTCATCTTTCCATGGTAGATCAATTTCATACCTTTCGCCGTTAAATCGAAGACTCTCGTTAAATGCTGATTCGCAACACCTTTCACTACTCTTAAGCCCCATGGATTCGGTTTCCCAAAATTTCCTTAACGTGTTCACGATTGGATCTTCGGTTGTCTCGAACGGACCTTTGGAACTTCCAGAAATAATCAGATTTGTTGTGGTCTTCAATTCTCCTTTCTCCTTGGTAGTTGGCCCAGATAAAAGCCATCCAAATGTGCTACTAATTGCTACAGGACCCGACTGTCCTCGAATCATTTCACCTCCAACAATGTCCCAATAGTAGTCAGAACCGATTAGAACGTCTATGGGATCGCTTACATTAGATTTATCAGCCAGTTGTATTCCATTCAAATGAGGGTGATTGTCGAGGTTAATGGTTGCAGATACTGGGGAACAAAATTCTGGGAAATTGAGGGCCTCAATCGTCACCTGTTCATCGTTGCTTGCGCACAATTTCAGTTGTAGTAATTCACATTTCTGTCTTCGAAACCTTTTTTCGCCAAACGTGTTAAGGTGGAGAGTTTCGGATCTCTGCGACTTGAGACCCAATTTGGACTTGAGATGGTCACTGACATAAGACCGCTGACTCCCACTGTCAAATAGAATTTTGACAGGAATAGATGTTCACCCATCATAGCTGATTGCAGATGCTGTTGCAGTTTGAAGCATGACACCGCCCTTCGTTTGATTACTTGCTGTTGTGGCAGATTGTTGGTTCCCAGTTGCAGGTGTATTTGCAGGATTGAATGGTTTAGAACCTGCATTTAGAGGACTGCCAGGGGGTGGACTGCCAGGGTGTTGACCGGGGGGTTGACATGACTGCAAGCAAATCGATTGATGATGTTTGCCCTGACATTTTCGACAAGATCTTTTTGGATCACACTGAGCGTTTATGTGCCCAAACATTAAGCAAACATAACATCTTCGATCCTTTCGCAATATTTCTGTTCATGCATGTCTATCTCGAACCTTCTCACATGATGCTGAGAAATGATCACCATTACAACTAACACATCGAATTTTTCCCTCGTGGGAACCATTATTCACAAGTAGGGCAGATGCAGATGGGGGTCTGGACTGATACCTTGGTTTTTCATTCTGAATCACCTTAACACCTTCGCTCATTTCCCGGGCTTCCACTTCATTTCGGATTACGTCCAATATTTCTGAGATATCCCAGACCTCCTTGGATGTTTTTCTCGCGATTTGAAGCCGTATATCTTGGGGTAATTTTGACATTAATACCGGAATTAGCAAACTACCATATTGACTTGCCTTGACACCAAGTGCTTCAAGTCCTCAAACATTTACACTTACTCGATCATAGACAAATCGCAACTGGGAAGCCTTATCACCAGCACATGCCGGAATTTTTAGGAGCTCGTCCATGTGAGTGGAGATGACAAGCTGTTGATCGTTGATAAGCTTCGTTATAACTGCTCGATTGCCTCCTCTAACGGCTCGAAATCTCGCTAAAATCGCCTTTTCTTCGCTCATTTTTTATTAAATACCTTGACAATATATATGCTCCACGTTGGGCGCCATGTAATAAATATCGAACTCTACGCAAAAACAAACTAGAATATCGTCGAAAATCTCAGGGTTTACTCATATATAAAACTCGTATAAAAAAAATATAAAACTACATCACAAAAAACATGTGTTCGCGCAACTTGTTCTCAGGGAAGCCTGAGTTCTACCTTCAACTTAAGGTGTCTCTCGCACGTTTTTAACAGTCTTCATAACATTATATCAAGGTATTAATGTGCAAGACTCCCCTTTATGAGTTAAGTTGTCTGGCATTAGACATTGTAAATTGTTGCTTAATTATTCAGCTTTGTTAGTAAACTGTATATGCAATGCACTGTCTATTGGTTTATTGGTCTGCTGATAGACAATTCAACTTGTCAAGGGGAGACTTGCACCTATAGTGGAAATAAAATTTAGAGTAATAGTCTTGATGGTGTATTATTAAACAAAAATGTAAGGAGGACAAGTTTCTAAAGTTGATTTAACTATTTTTAGCCACAAAAGTAGTTTTTTGATGGCGAGAATATAAAACAGGCTGCATTGATTGTGCTGATAACCATTAGACATGTGATTTTACATAAAACACTTCTTAGATAATGATGACTTTACTATTCAAGTTATTCTCAACTACTGTGAAATATAAGTGTGAAGAATGTTGGAAAAATAATTATACAAAACCTTCTCAAAACTTATTACAAAAGTTATTTAAACACATGGCTATTGTATGTTTGTTTTTTTGGAACTCGATTAGGGACTTGTCAGAAATTACCATGGGGGGAGGGTCCTAATTTTTCAGCCTTTCAAAAGGGTGGGTCATTAAAAACCAGGGATGGATTTACTGGGGGTGTGCACCCCCACTGGGGGGTGTGCACCCCCTTAGCCCTGACCAGATGGTGTGCAGGGAGGGGGTGCTATTTTTCATGAAAAAGCAACAAATTATTAGAGACAAAATGAGATACAGTAATTTGAGCAACAACATGATGATAAGCGAACTGTGAACAACAATTACAATTCAAATACAGTAGGCAAGCAAGACTTTGCAGTAGTAAAGCAAGTTGATGGGCGGGCAGCACACATGATCGACACAACTCGCACCAGAGCTGGAAGGCACCCCCTACCCTACCAGATCATGCTGGATCCATCCCTGTTAACAACTGAACCATTGAAGAGTCATAAAAATTTAAGCCATAATTTTCATGAGGGTTATAAAATTTAAGCCCTCATGATTCTAAAACAGATCAACATTGATTGTTGTATAATCTGAGAATTGCTCTTCTTACAACTTGAGAAAGCCGCACAAACTGGTTGTGCCACGCTATAAAACTAACAGGTCTTCAAAGTCTTTTTTCCCTTCCTCAGCAAGGGCTTATAATTGTAAATAGTACTATACTCAATCATTTTTATTGCTGTATATATACATATATTTTCTTTTTAACACTTGTACGTAAATTATGCAATTCGGCTTCATAAGGCCGCTATGTAATTTCTCATTAATAAGTCTATCTAAATCTATCTAATCATTAAAACTGGTAATAAATATTATAGCCTTTAATGAACTTCTAATTTTATCACAAACTCATTAACTTAACAAGTTAATTGCTTGGCTAATTAGAATAAAAGATAAAGTAGGGTGTACACAAATGCGTTTTCTTGTCTCTTACCTTAAGTAATTGTGCAGTACTAACAGTGCCAATATAATGCTGGTCACAAAGTCGGGAGAAATAAGTATTGGAGAGCAGAGCACTCTCAATCTGTTGGCTAAGATCCCAAAACTATTCTCAGATATCCTTCTCATCCTTGACAGCCAGTAGTTAAACACTCTTTCTTCAAGATGTGTACGAGGGAAGGGTTTCATGAAATAAGTTGCGAGACCAAATGCATCATCCCCTGTCAAAACAAACAGAATTGGCATCTCATAGGAAGTGATACTTTTGATGGTAAATGCAATTTATTCTCAGTGCTGCTCAATAGTGCTTTCAGACCACTCTTCTGCCAGATTGCTCCATCAGGCGCATGTTCATTTTGTCCCCATATCAGCCCACAAACATTCATAATTAGGTCCAAAAACATCCAGGAGAATGTTGTGGTGATCCTTGTAATCAAAAATAATGAGAGCCTGAGTTGTTAGATTGTTGGATAATTATCCTTTTGCCATCGATTGCCCCAATGCCATTGGGAAAATTCCACTGCTGGGCGAAATGTTTGGCAATTGCACACGATTCTTCCTCACTGTCTGGCGTCTTAAGGACATCTGGACCAAGAATTTTAAACAAAGCATCACAGGACTCAGAGACAACATATGAAATAGTTGTTCTGTTCGAACAAAAACAGTACTCGAGCGATTTAAATGTCTCTCCTGTGGCCAAGTATCTTAAAGTAACAGCTAACCTCTCATCGGCCTTAATACTCGACCTCATTAGGGTAACTTGTTTTCCTACGAGGCAAGCAATTTTATTTGAAAGAATTCCTGGTATGCTGTTTCATCCTCTACCCCTTTGCTCTCTTTGGGCTATCCAAGGCCTTACCCAGTGTATGCGCTTTTATTTGTTCTTCATCGTCCTCATAGAGCAAATCCAACAGCAACAAAGCTTTTATCATTTTGCGTTTCTTCTCCATACTCTAATAAATAAGTTCATTAAAGTTTGTTATGATTCTGGTTAATTAAAATTTGGCACCAAACAGCGCCTCTCCCTAGTCTCTTCGCATGCCTCTATCCCAGCCTCTGTCCCCTATCATTGCGAGTTCCATGTAAATCATTGCAGCATGTAACACCTCTTGCAATGCATTATCAAAGTCTTTTTTAAACATTGCGAGACAAGTTGCATGAAAAATTGCACCGTGTAAGAGGGCCTTAAACGGTTATATTCCATTTACTGGTCAGTTTGTCATTATTCTAGCTCAAAGTTGGAAAAATAGTGCAAAATTTGCACAAAATACAAATTTATGGCATTTTAAATCCACTTCACCTGGATAGGCAAAATCAAGATAACCGTTTAATGATCTATATTTTAGTTTTTTCTAAGCTTTCCAATAGTGTAGGTTACATTTGCCTAAAAATGATTTCAAAATATAAAATTCTGTCCACAATGGTTTTCTATAGGTAGAAGAAAAACTCGATTTTCACCATGTTCCACCGAAGGGATTTTTTTTTATTTTTAGTATGTTAATCAGAACAACTTTTCTCACACTTTACCACTGAAAACAAATCTATTGCAATTACTTTGATCAGGACCATGTACTTATAGTGATTTGACTGTACTATTGTAGTTGCATTAAAGAAGTGTCAAGTGACAGCATTTCTCCTTTGAGTATAGCATCCTATAATGGCAAAGATAGACTAATTTTGGACCTGCGTTACCTTAATAGTAACCTATTTACATCGGTCTTACTCATGCTCCTTAAGGTATGGGAATTCTTGCGGCTGCTTTCGGACACAAAGGAAATCAAAAGTTGGGGTAGGAGAAGAAAGGGTGGGAGAAGAGTCTGAAAACACCGTGCGGCAGGCAGAGCATAAGCCTATGAGATTTGTCCCTCCGCTCTTTGATCGAAATGATAATTATATGCTATGGGTGTGACCTTATATAGCTTGCGAAAGACTGCTGTAAATAGTAACCTATTTACATCGGTCTTACTCATGCCCCTTAAGGTATGGGAATTCTTGCAGCTGTCTTGCATAACACGTATACCAAAACTATCTCAGAGCTTGGCACCGACACCAAAGGCTTGGATCTCAAAAGTGACCACACCTCAAAACACCACACCTGAAGGAGAGAATTGAATGGCGTTGCAGGACGTTTCTGAGACAGGCTAGGAGGGGATGGAAACACAACAATGAAGTTGCACAAAGCGTTATAATCCATGTGAATTCATTGAGTTTCCTGAGCAGTAGAAGGACAACTTGCGAGGAGTTCTGCAGGAGCTCCAGCTCTGATGACATAAGCGAGTTGGAGATAGTAATCAGCAGTATGAGGGCTTCGGCAACTTGTCTGGAAATAAACGGGTAGTTTGCTTTGGTGTGATGTGGGTTTGTAACTGCTCAGCAGTGACAGCTTTTAAATGTTGTTTTACCAGGTCAACAGATGCTGGATTACCAAGTAGGAATGCACGATTCCAATCGCCCTGACAGCCGGCATTGGCAAAAATTGCTTGCAACTTGCCAATGTAAGAGTTGACGGTAGTATAGGCTAAACACACAGGACAGCTGCATTGGAAAATGCCTTTTTGACCAAAATGGAGACACTCAGTATGGTGGGTTTGGGTTTTACCCCGAGAGTCCTTGTAGACTAGAAAGCGGCACACATCAAGGGGAACGGCATTAGAGATTGTTTTACAGCCAGGGAGAGCATGCAAAAACGAGCGCAATTCTTCTTTTAAAGATAACTTTTGCTTGGAATATGCAGTTGACTTTTGCTGCGATTGCAAAGAATGGATATGCTGGTCGATAGCTGTCAACTGTATAAGCACATTAGATCATATACATATGTATTTTGTGCTATATAAATTTTAAATATTATTATTATTATGCACAACGGAGGGCGGCGGAAGAAAAGCCAATTTCCTAACATAACCACAATTTGGGCAAAAACGGAAGGTATGGTCGTTGGCATAATGACATTCAGGACAGCCAACAGTGGGAACGAAAAGACATGCTACCAGAGGTAGGTCCTAAAATTAGACCAAGATACAAACAGTGTTTTGATATATTTTAGTACATCAGGATAAATTAATACAATATCAGAAACGTTACTATGATAACAGTGTTGTGATATAATGTCACACTAACGTAAAGCAATACAATATCGTTAAAGTCACTGTGATGAATGTGGTGGACGACCGTGGTAAATTGACCAGTTGCTGTTATTCAGGATCACCCAACAGTGGAAGGAAAACAGGGTGTGAAGGAAAAGGCCCACAGGTCCCACAGCAAAGGAAAATTATGTGAGAATCCAGAGGAAGTGGGAGGCAGGATGATGCCCTGGGAACCTTGTGTTCCTAACAACCTAGATTTATAGCGACACAAGCAAGGCCACCAAAACCGGCGAGGATGAACATCGGGTATAACCAAAGTACATTAAATGCCATGTTGGGAGAGGAAATGTAAGAGAGTTGGTATGAGAATGATAGGGGGGAAAGCATAGGGCTTGGAAAAGATTTCAGGGTTCTGAAGAGGAGATTGAGCAAATAGATTAACTCCGGCTGCGCCAGGAACAGGATAGGGGGAAAAGAAGGGCAGAGGAGTATTGGCAAGAGAACACCAAACATTGGAGGGAAGGGCCATAAGGTCAGCACTATGGCCTGAAGGAGATGCAAAGTATAATTGAACTTGATTCCAAATATGCGCTATAATATTACTGGAGGAGTGTCCGGCAAAAAAGGTGTTTGCAAAAACATGACGGATTTTTGCGCGCCATATGACGCCATTTCCATGACAAATGGTTCCTCCGGCTCATGGAATTACCACTGACCAGGCTCAATTCTGAGCCTGCTACAATTTTCACACCCCCTGGTTTTATCAATAAACTTTTTGATATAGATTTAGACAAATATGATAGCGATAACAAATTTATTTAAGAATGAAGTTTCGAAGTTATCTTGACCTCATTTTCAAGTTCAAATTATAACAGAAAACGATTAAATTAATATAAATAGCATTTACAAATAATTGTGCAAGCAAACTAATTCGTCATAGATGACAGTTGCAGTTTTCAAACTTAATTAACTCATTAAGTCTCATTGCGCCCCCATGCGCCCTGGAATTGGGAACGGGGTAAGTCTCATTGCGCCCTCATGCGCCCTGGGCGTCACATCAACTTCCGGGCACGATTGTCTAGCGCGTATTTATCGGGTTGCCTAGCAACGGTCACAAGTACAAAGTGCAAAATTCGGGCTTTCAAACGATACATCATGCGAGAAAATTGATAAAAAGTTTGCGAAGATTTTCGATTTTAAAACTCTATTTTTTTACAAAACCTGTTACAACCGCAAAGTGTCACAAGATGGGACTTTGCAGCAAGTTTTAAGGATGAAAAAGAAGAGGTTTTTAAAGACTTTTACATATAAAATATATTGTAAAACATAAGGGAGTGTGCATATGTTTCAAGTCAAGTTCTTGTCCAAATCAAGTCGCGCGATTTTCAGCCAGAAAAACAGCAATTTCTTTCAATCTAACGGAAGTGGGAAATCGCAAGAAACATGAACACTAAATCCAAGTGAGTAGTTACGATTTTGTTGAGCGTGTTTTTGAATGAAAATACCTGGCATGTTTTCATGAAATTCGATATAGCATTAAAGCAAGTTCAATCTGGTTTAAAACTAAGTTTTTAGAAGAACTTTTCGTACATTTTATGGCATGATTTCGACTGTTTTCGTGACCCTACCGTTGGTCTTCTTGCTCAAGTTGTTATTTTAGTCAAAGTACTTTCAGAAGACAGTAGGTTCAACTTGTCGTGTGCGTATATACATTTTTGGCAAGAAAAATTTCGAGTAAAACCGCATTAAAACTAAGTAGAATATTCTACAATGAATACTGTATCTGTTTCTATAAATTTTGTCTCGAAACGAGCTCTCATTTCAGAGATAATGTGGTTTAAAATCAGTGTATTGAATTATGCTGTTACTTGGCACGTGCAAATTCTGAACCTTCATGACAGGGATTTGAAAAGCTTCCAAAATACTCTTTATTGCTTCCGTATATCCCCATAAAATTTTTAAATCAATAAAGCACATCATAAAATTAATGCACGCTCATTTTCTAAGAAGTACTCGTCGATTACCTAAGGAAAAGTTCCAAAATAGGTCAGGACAGTGGTTTACAAAATGCCGTTCTTCTCTGAAATGGCTTCTTTTGCGGGAAGCCATTCAATTAATGTACTTTCCAAAATTGTAATTTAGTCGCTTTTTTGGTCTCATTGTTCACTTATTTATCATGGAATTACTTCGCTTGAGCTCTTTTAATAATATCTGCAAGATACTTTGCTATTTGGTGAAATAAAAGCTATATTTTTAGCAGTTTATCTTTTGAAAACTGCATGTGCAACAAAGTGTCACCAATGTGTTTACTCTTGTCTGACAAACAACCAAAGATGAAATACTTTATTTGACTCTTTTATATCAATCTAAAATGCCTAAATATTAGATTATTCATTTTATTTGAGCATACATATTATATTTTTATACAATTGGCATACCTAATTTTAGTGTGCAGTGATAACCAATTTGTGCAGTGATAAAACTAAAATGTGCAGTGATAAAATTTGCTGTGATAAGTTGTTAACAATTAACATGAAAATCCAGGCAATGAGCAGAAGAACTGAGCTAAAAATTCGTCTTGACACTCCTTGACAGTATTAATCAAAACATTTTGAATGTAATGAGAAATTAGAAAATCTTTGCCTGAAACACAATTGGGGACTTATAAAACATAATATTATTAGCAAATTGCAGCTTAATAAGTATGGTCTTCACCTCAACTAATGAGGAACAGCAATGCTAGCTCATAACTTCAAACGTTTCTTAAGTCAAACTGTAAATTGATATTCAGCTGTGGTTGAGAGAGATTTAACCAATTTAAGGTGGCTCCCTACAGTTTTCTTGTTTAAGCAATCATTCCGTAAAACAGGCTTATTCGTGCAGAACGCGAATTCTTTTCGACTTAGTGGTAATATTGGTCACCTAAGGAATATTTCGAACTAGATTTCGATGATGTCAATGTTCCCATGGCAACATGACGACAGCATAAAGCCTTCCAATTTAACCCATAAATGTGCCGCTATCTCAAAAACGATGTCGGTGACCTATCTTTTTTATTTCATGTATCAATAAGGAATGATGCTCTGCAACTGTGGTGAAAGTTTAAAAAAATTCTGTAGTGTGTGATTTTTTTAAAAGCGAAAAATTTATTGCGAAATTTCCACACTACAGATTTTTTTAAAATTTGAAATCTATAAAATTTACCGCAAAATAAATTCGTGGTCAAAATTTGAAGATAGGTCACCGATGAAACTAATGAGTAAAATGCAAATAAAGTTAGAAAATAGCCTTGTGTAACTCAAGAAATTCCCCTATTGAAAAGCGTCGCTGACTAGTAAAAAATTGTACGCGGGCGCAGAACGAGTTTTCATTCAGCAAAATCGAGCCGCAATGTTGTTTTTACTGTTTTGTTTTTGTCAACTTTTCGATTTATTTGAGTGCTACGGACAGCCAAGGATTATTATGAAGGATTAAATCGATGAAAACAAGGTTGAAGCTAATTGAATCCTGCCGTTTACTCAATCTATGAGCTGTAACAGCCTATTAACAGGTGGACGTGTTTTTTTGTTTCATGTTTGGTTTTGTACTTTTTGCTAAAAATGAACAATTAGGCTATGAAACTGAAATATTTTTCTGTTTACATATAATCACTTTAATCTTGTAGAAACACGACTAAAAACGTGACTGTTTTCTTGAGAAGTAAACAACTTTTTAAACGTTTGTATGCAATTTTGCAAATGTTTTACAGTTGAGTCAGTTGACAGTGTATAAAAAAATTAAAATATTGTTTCGTAGCTATTTTTTGGTCTAGTGATATTCGTATCATATGTAGAATTGCTGTATAGACTCGCAAGTGATTTGGCACTCAAAACGAAGTATTATTCAACGCTTTTTCCCATTAGAAACCTTTCAGAAATAGCTTTATTTTTTAAAAAAGCATGGTCAATTTTTGTTTTGTTTTGATCATGCAGTTGCGTGGGATAGTTCACGTACTTGTCCCGCGAACATCCCGCACGGAACTGTAGGGAGCCTCCTTAAGATTGTGTCCACAGAAACGTAAAATGTGTTACGTTTCCAGTGATCTTCTGGTGTTTCAGCAGGTTCGCCTTCGGCATTTTCATCATCCATTCGTCTTCGACGTCTGATTCTTGGTTGTTGCCAGATCACGCTGGGGGAGTCGTGTTTTTGCTCGACGTATCTGATAATCAGCTCCGGTTCTTTACACAATTCATTGAGCTCGTCAATCGCGCTTTCGACCATACCCAGGGCTTTTCCAAAATCAACATGAACGCGTTGTAAATATCGGCTTAGCGGACCAGCGGATGCAAATATTTCTCGAAAGAGGTACGCGGTAGCCAGAAACTGCTTTGTTTGAATCTGCTTCAATAAGCCAATGCTCGTTTTTCGTGGGTTTCCATCAATTAAACTGTCCAACGCAACGGTTTCCAGGACACTTAAAATGCAATCATAACGAGAGAGAAGGACCTTTAGACACAACTCGCGTGAATGCCAACGAACAGTATTAAGTCTCTTTAGGGAAAGGACTTTCAGGTTCTCTTCCAGTTGGACAGCTTCGAACAAATCATGGATTCTTTGTGTCTTGCTAAAGAGAACGTACAAGGCTTCAAGGTCATTGAAGAAGCTTATTACTTGAACATCAACACTTGCAGAGTCGGACAAAACAAGAAACATGCTTTCCAACTTTCTCCTTGATGATCGCTTGCAAGCCGTTGTAGCAGCCGCTCATATTCGAAGCGCCGTCGTATGTTTGTGCTACGAGTTTACCAAACGACACACCTTTCGAGACAAGTGTTTCTGAGATTAGGTTGTATAGTTCCATTGCTCTTGCACCGGAAGCTGTTTTGCAAGACAAAAGGTGCTCGGAGCATTTTCCATTACGATTAACGATCCTTGCGCAAATACTAAGCTGCTCGTGGTGACTGACATCCGGTGTGGTGTCGGCCATTAATGCCCATGCTCTGCAATTACCGATTTCTTTGACAATTTGCGAGGCGATTTATCTTCCAATAATTTTAATCACATTATTCTGCGTATCGTTGCTGAGGAAAGTTAGTTTCGAACCCCGTCCTTTGGCACCTTTTTTCCCGCCCTTTCTTCTCGATATAGCTTGTTGATTTCTAACCTAGTCTAGATGATTCGCAGTTGTTATATCGTAGGTTGACAGGTAATTAAGCGACTCTAGAAAATTTCCTTTATTTGCTTCTGGGTCATCAATTAGCGATTCTCGATGCCCTCTGGAAGCAAGTCCCTGCTTTCCCAAATGTACAACAGTGTCGACAACGCGTTTCATAGTGGCTGAGGTTTGCAACGACTTCTTTCTTCCGACGCAACATTTCGCTGTTTTCTTGTTGCTTCAAGCATGAATCGATTGATCGTCCTTGAAAAAAGATAACTTGAGCAATCTTGGCATTTATGTGACTTTCGGACTTTTCGTGCTTTGTGATATTACTGTACTGCTTCTTCCAGTTCGAGTACCCAGCATTCGTAAAAGCATTTCCTTTGTTCCGTCTGAAAATAGGAGACATGGGAGGCAGAATAGACAATCCTTACTTAGCGAGTATGAAAGCCATTTGCGCCTAGTTTGATCTTCGTGGAAGAATACCGCCTGTGAGCAGTACCGGTTACGTTCTCCAATTTTCTTTTCTCTCAGATAAAACGGATTCGGGTGGCTGACAAGGTTCATTTTTACAAATGGCATTTCGGCGCCCCTCTTGAAACCATCGCTGGGGGGGGGCATGGCCCCCCCGCCCCCCCCCCCCCCAGCCACCACGCCACTGCACATATATGAAAGGCAAATTCCCGACCCCCGTGAACTGTCTATCGGGCAAATTCCCGGGGGTGTCCCAGGGGGATGGTTACTCCAGGAATTGACTCATGCATTATTTTAGAACATCGGCCAAGATTTATAGTATAGCATTGGAAGTGAGCGACTTTTCATAGCCAGTATGAGCACTAAAAAAAATCCTTCTCTTTAAAGAAATTACACAAGGCTTCCTCTTGATCTAGATAAAATTTTACAACATTTAGAAGCGCACACGCTGTAGAAATGGCGACAGGAACTCGGCATATAAATCAAACGCTCCATCACTTGCCGCCATATTTGTTTAATTTGTTTTCGAGCGGCAGCGTATTTAGCGTATTAATTTTCTTGCATAAATTATTTTCCCAAAAATCTGAAAAACAGGCTGAGTTAGCCTGCGCGCAGAATATAGTGTGTGTGTGTGTGTGGGGGGGGGGGGGCATGATCCAAAGACCACGCTTTGGAGACAAATCCAGCAGACAAAGAGTGGATGCAAACTCCGCAGGGAGCCGATGTCATACAGTAGGGCTAACCAGTTGTTCAAAAACGAGTTAAAGACGGAAGGTCTCGACCCAAAGTGTTATGGGCTGCATAGTCTACTTTCTGGTGGTGCATCGACAGCAGCGGCAATGTATATTCCTGATAGACTGCTTCAGAGACAAGGGGGTTGGCACAGTGCCAGGGCGAAGAACAATTATATTGATGAGTCTGTTAACTCTTTATTGCTTGTTACTAAGTCTATGCAGAGTGCATGACATCACTAGCTCTATCGTTGTCAGTTGCGGCGGACGGCTGCAGCAGCTCCCAGCAGTGTGTGAGAAGTGTTATTTCCTGCTGGCTGAGGTACGAAAGAAGCAGAAAATGTTTTCTCACACAAGGCTGGGAGCTCGATTGTGAATCGGGTGTGTTCGGGTGGTGCAGGTTAAGACAGCACATGTTGTTGTTGTTTCCGCAACGCTTGACATAAATCCCCACCCGCCCGCCCGTTAATTATAGTCAGTTAGCTTGTTAGATGCAGTGGACGTTTATATAACTTATTAGTAATTATAACTAGCTCCTCAGTAATTTTTATGTAAATAACGTAATTATGTTGCAGAGCTATGTATGATTAGCTGTGTTAGCTGTTATTGTGTAAATAAAAGTCAAGCTTGCGGGGGACGGCTATAGCAGCTATATAGTCTGCGCGCAGGCTAGGGCAGAGTGGGCGTAGCAAGCTTACGAAGGCTAATCTCAGGCTAATTGAGGCTGAATCTCGCTTAAGCTAGCGTGCCACCTCCATTCCAATATAAACGCAGAATGAAATTTAGTAGGAACAATAAGAAAGGCGGGATCTCGCCTATAAACAAGCCAGATATAAACAGCCCATAACTCTAGAATTTTGTGAAACTACTACAGTTACAAGCCTCTAATAAACAGAGGGTTTTATTATGAAATAACATTGGAGTGTGCCTCCTCTTATATTACACTATATTTATAGTTGTTGTTAGCCCAGTCAACAGTGGTTTGTTTTGGTGAGCCAGCCTGCCTCAAAAGTCTCATGTAAACACGGGATGAATTCATGTCGGAAACACTTGCTACAGTAGCTCACTCTCCGCCTTCCCCCTGCTTCACTGCCTGCGTGCAGTCCCAGACTCCACTTTGGAGTCTGGAACTGCACGCAGGCTACCTGTTTCAACGCTGAAATGCTATTGTCTTCCTGACAGAAACATAACGTGTCCCAACAACCGCAAGTAGTGGCCTATTGGCATTTAAAATCTAATGCATTCATGATATTATTTGAATAAAACAATAGTTTACAGCACAAATTAAGGAACATTGAAATGAGAGGAAGGGGGTACCGTTACGTTTGTCTCAAATATTTTGTGGACGATTGCGAGTTGGCTCGCCTATACATATAAACAGCCCCAGCAACATTATGAAACTCTAAATTTTTCAATGAACCACTGTCAGTATACAACAATTAGCCCAAATACTCAATATAGATTTGGAGTAATTAGTCCCTTCGACTTTGGCTCTCATATTAACTAAAGTCAATAATTATATACAATAATCAATATACACAACGTTTGCCTAAAACTGTCGCATACAACCTTCTAACAACTTCAGTTATAGGCCTACTCTGTAAATCAAGCACACAACTCGCTGTACGTTGTCTTAAGTGAGCTATAATTATGTGCTTGATTTTTACGCAGTATACAGCTATTTCAATAAAGGTTGTCTGGGCTCCGAGCAAAGCGGAAAAGTCAAATACGAGCGCGAAAGGCTGCTGGGAATCGTTAATAAATGAATGAATTTATTAGCGATTCCCAGCATGCAGCCTTTCGCTCTCGTATTCGACTTTTCCGCTTTGCTCGGGGGACAAAGTTAATTGAAATAGCTGTATATTAAAGTTGTGTATTGTAAATATATATATTTCAATGCTTGCGTTGTATCGATTAACATAATAGTTAGTGAAATTAAGCTACCTGCGCACACATGCAGGTATATTATTGCCTTTGAAATTATTATTAATAAATTATAGCGCAAAAATTATGTGCATTTTTAAGTGTCTCATGCGTTTAATTGCATTCAATCATTTTTGAAGCAGACAACTTATGATGCAAAGTTTGGCAAATATTTCGTAAAACACACTTAAGTCGGTTATAGTACGGAAAGATTAGAGTGACAGAAACTCAACTCTAATTCAATTAAAATAATGTCCGCCTTATCTGACAATAATGATGTAGCGCAAGTTTCAAAGGACACAATTAAAAATGTAAAAGAAATAGCAACGAGACCTGATGATTATGATTACACACACACACACACACACACACACACACACACACACACATATATATATATATAGAGTGCTCGATATACCGAAGTATAGAGCTAATATGATATAATAAACCTCGTTCACTTCATATATAAGATTTATTCACTACAAACTTGTTTCGTATGACAAGCAATGCTTGCCACACTCATCAGGTGAATTTAAATGTCCGTTCGGCAAAATATCCGTTCGGCAAAATGTCTTTCGGCAAAATGTCTTTCGGCAAAATGTCCGGCCACCACAGGATATAGAAAGATATCCAGTCCGCTACTACAGATGATTAGAGTTTGGTTTGCTGCATAATATAGGCATAAAACATTTTTTCACTACTATAACATCAACAAAAAATAATATTTACAAACATTTCCTACGAGTATATCTTTTTGAAGTTACAGTACTGTAATACATATATATATATATATATATAATGTGCAATCTTGTCACATCCAAATTGGTTAGTAAAAGTGGTATGAATGGAATCTATCAAGAACTTTTTTCTCAATTCCTTTACCAATTAACCTTGCTTAAAATTTGTGTTCTCAATTGTATAAAATATTCAAATTGTAATCACAAGATGATTAAAGACTAATGAAAGTTACTGAAGTACCCTGAAAATTTACCAATTTTGGTATGGTGGAAGCATTTTCGTAAAAATACGAAGTGTGCTATAATCGTCTGGATTACAGAACGTTCCCCAAAAGAACATTTTTGTCCATCCAATACTATGAGAAAGTTTACCGCACCGTTGTACAATGTGGTAAAGAGGGCAATGTTTCCAATCTAGATCACCATGAACTGTCATGCTGCGATCGTAAACAACAAGTAATGAACTGCCTAAATTCGACTGTCTTACTGAATCTCCTGCCTGGACTTTCACTATAAATCGTTTTCCGTATTTGGGTGGGTCGGCGTATTCTGGTCCCTTAGGATCAAGACCTGGTGCTTGCTGGTTGAAAGCAATGATTATACGATCTTTGGATGGCTTGCCTAATGAGCTTCCCTTTTGAACAACATTCACGACGATACTAGATTCCTGCAGCAAAGAAGGACATACGCTTTTGTGTTTTTTCCAGTCACTTTTTTGACACCTCTTTCTGCAATATCCAACAGAATAACATCCTGTGCATTTCTGTAACGGTTTCTTTTCGCCACAAAGTACACAGAAATCTAACAGTTCCGCTTCGTTTTCGGAACGCGCATGATTGATTTTATTATTGTTTCTTTCTTTGTTTCCTTTCAACTTCGCTTTCCTCATTTGTTCGCGATTTTCGTGAAAATATATGTATTCTCTACGTGTCTGCTCTCTTGGTATATACGCTTGATCTCTAAACACCATTTCGTCGTGAATGCCGGGTCCACCATTGTCAAAAATGTTATTACTTTCGACAATAGAATGACGATCTTCAGGGCCAGGACCTATTGGTACAACCGATACACCGCCATACTTGTTGCGATAAATGTTGTTGTTAATAACGTTGCACCTGGCATTATCCATTGTGGAAATACCTCGCCAGCAATTCTCAAAGATTTCGTTTTTTTCAATATGTGTAAACGACACTCCTTCAAGATTAATGCCATGTCGATCATTTTGATAGATGCGGTTACCAGTGAGAATTATATTGGAACTACGAAACGTCACAACTCCTTGGTAACGGTTATCGTATATATCACAATCAATGACACAACAACGCCCAGCATCTGGTCCCATGTGGATTCCCAACTTATTGCCATGAAGCTTACTATTCTTCATTTCTAACTCGCCACCCGAGGAGACTTGCACTCCAAATGCACCGTTTGCTGAAAAGATACATTTTTCGACAAACGTTTTCCCCAGAACACGCAAAGCATCCTCTTTGCAGTTGTCAAAATGGCAATTGGTAAAAGTTGTAGCTCCTGAAGAGAGAAAAGCTTGTTGTCCTTGACCTGCGTTATTTGTGAAACTACAATTCACGAAGGTTGCATCCGTATCATCATTGGTCTCCCAGCATCCTGTATCAAAAACAAAAGAAATGTTCACCGCCATTATACATCTAGATGAAAACATGCCAACACTTCCTTGAAAAGATAATAGAGGAATCCGTTTCGTTCCACTGTCCTCCACGCCAATTAATACGGTATCACAAATATACATTTGTCTCTGGAATGTATAATCACCTGGTTCAAAAATAATTATTTTACGGGGTGATTCAGACTCTTTCTGAGAACGGAAATTGCAATGCAAAATGGAGGAAACAAGTAAAGAAGTACTTGAACGACAAATATATATGCGATCCTTTAAAGAATAGAACAAATGCTTAAACGGCGCAAAGCTGCTGAAGATATCTTTGTTGTAATAATATGCTAACGCTGCAGCACAAGTTGCATCCCAAAATCTTTTCAGCCCGTGCAATGCCTGTGCTTTTTTGGCATAGCCTTTGCAGCACTTAGGGCGATGGGAAATGTAATCTTCAGCATCTCTTAAACCATCGCCAAAATTGTGCAACCTAATGAAAGCTGAAGCTCTGTTACTAAGAAAAGTAGGATTAAAGGAACTTTTGCCTTTGCTCATGTTTATCACAGAAGTGTATACTTCAACTGCTTTTTCAAAGTGACCCTCATGGAAATAAGTATTCCCTTCTACACGCTTTTCGTTACAAGCGTTCTCTTGTTCTTTCAAGTCTGAAAATGGTATGATATCTTCCTCTTCTACAACGGAAGAAACACTTATAGTGTCACGAGGAGCGACACAGGAATACGAAATAACTCTCCGAACCAACTCCGGCAAAGGTATTTCGTGAGGAAACAAAGTGGCCAAATCGTCCTTTGTTAAAAGGGTGTCTCCCAAGCGAATGATTTTGTAAGCAAAGTCGACAGCTGCTTTGGCTTCAGCTGTCTTGCTGTCAACATTAAGATGAAGAGCGCATTCATAAACCAACCTGGCTGTTTCTGGGATGACGATTCTTTGGTCTAAAAGCTGAGATGTTTTTAAGAAATCTAACAGAAGCTTCCGTACTTCATGAGCATGTAAGCACAACTTATGCCACTTGTTGAAAAGAGATGGATCAGATGTCTGAAGAGAGGCTCGGTCATGATGCTTATTGATCATGCTGGTTAAAAGATCATCTGGGGAACGCGAGAATGAAAAAGCGTAGCTTAGAAGGCGTATTGCATCAACTAAAGACGAAACATATTCTTCTGGGGAAATGTTACCTCGAATAACCTCTTGAACCAGGCGATGGACAGTAAGAGAAGAACGCTTATTTTTCTTGAATAAGGAAAAATCAGTAAGCAACTTCAATATGTGTGATGAGCCTAGCGCAGTATCTACGTACTCTTGGTAGGCATTGTCTTCAATCGGAGGTTTTCCAGGATTAATAAGGTCTTGCTGGATTTCAGCAGGATTGAAAAAGGCGCATGCGTGTAAAAATCTAACAGCAAAGTTGCCATTCTTACTTTGCTTAATATACTCAAAGTTGAGTAGCCATGTTGTACGCACTGCCAATCGTTCTCGAGATTCATACATGGAAGCAGAACTTGCATCTTGTTCATCTAACAATTCGAGAGAGTACTTTTCGTATTGTTGTAAGTACTCGGACATACTGGAAGAAAGGTGGTTGATGTACGCACATGCTTGTTCTAAGGCAAGCGGTAGTCCCCCCAGAGTTTCAACCAAGTCAGCAGCTTTAGCAGACGTTTCCTCGTCGCAAAAAATCCCAGTTCTTCTAAACACGAAAAGTTTTCCATCTTCTAAATTAAAACACTCGAGCTGAAGACACTGGGACTGTTTGAGACCACGAACGGTTTCACGCATTACTTTCGGCTCTCGTCTTGTAGTTATCAAGATATGACCAGATCCTTTTACTCTGCGTTTCCACGGACCAGACAACAACATTCCAATATTGGAGCAAAGCTTGAATTCATCCATATCGTCAAGGACAAGTAGCCAAGGTTTTTGAATCTTGGAAATTTCTTCCAGGGTTTTAAGAAGAGTTCTACCAGCTGATGCTTCAACTAATGTTCCAAGATACACCGCATGGTCATCTACCGAGTTAGCAAACCTTGTTTCATCTTCGCCAGAGAACCAGAATACGCCTCCTTCATAATAATCTTCCCATTGATGTGCATATTCCGCAGCAAGGCTCGTCTTACCACTTCCTCCTAACCCGCACACGGATGCAATTTGAACTCTTGGTTCATTGATATCATCATTGATCTGAAGAAGTGTGTGAAGATTTTCTAGTTCAGAAATTCGACCGGAGAACCACTCTGTTCTGTCAGGCAACATAAAAAGATAAGGTATTTTCTCGTATGCTATAGAAAGTTTTGCCACTTCATTTTGTAAAGCTTGCAATTGTTGGGACGTTGTTTGGTAATTAACTTTTAGATCTTCAATATCTTTTCCCATGGCAGAGTGATTATCCAGGACATTTTGTATTTCTTTGGCGAAAAACTGTTGAACAGACTGGAACTTCTCCATCAATTGCACCTAGAAGGAATAAAAGCAATACGAGTGTGTATTGTATTGGAAATAAAAATTATATATGAACTTCAATTAATAATTCATGAAGCAATTATCCAATCTTGAGTAAGAAATTAGTCATGTGCATACGTCTTTATACCAGCTAAAGAACACTTTAACAAAAGACCATTGTTATGCAAACTATATAAAGGTTTTTATATAAAGATTTTTATATAAAGATTTTTATATAAAGATTTTTATATAAAGATTTGACTTATTATGCATACGTTTTTGAAGTCATTTAAAAAACTCGCGGGTCGTGTTTTATTGGGTCTAAAGCCACTCGCGCTGCGCGCTCGTGGCTTTAAACCTAATAAAACACTCCCGCTCGTTTTTTAAATAGTACATAAAGTATCTAAAGTAGTTGCCATGGTAACACGATAATTTTTTAAGAATATTCTTACAAATGAAAAATCGCTTAAAAATATCATTTTTAATTACAAAATTATCAATTTCCTAACATATATATGTTAGGTATGATAATATACGTAATATAAGCTTCAATTTAAGGTAAAATTCAACCACAAACGCTTCGCAAAACGTTTTAAAGTGTTCTTTATAAAACTAAACTGCCTTTAATGAAATGGCTTTATCGATAAACTTTGAGTTTGCAATAAAATGATTTCAAATTCTACCATGCAAATAACTTTGTTTTCTTTTTTATTTAAAAAAAAATCAATATAATAAAAAAGGGAATCAATATTAAAGATACACTGAATTGGGGCCCGATATGCTGTCTTGTTTAGTTGTTTCATATACGCAAGGGCCGTCGGGTTTAATTTAAAGCAATTATAAAATCAATATTTAAAACAAACTTACCTTCGTTAACGTCGGCTCCCTTCTTTTAGCCGATTCTTTCGCCATTTCTTTCTTGAAATTTACAAAATCTTGCAAAAATGCGAGCAAAAATGAAATATATTTGCAAGAAATTCATCAATCATCAAATAAAGAAATGTTTTCTATTTCGCTGTCGTCATGCAGTCGTTATAATGCAAACTTTAAATTGGACCAATCACAGTGTTTGCTATTCATGACAGTCCGCCATATTTTTGAGATCAGTGAGGATGACCACCCACGGTTGGTGACCCACGCCCGCGATATTTGATAAACTTTAGACTTCGCTAATGCTTTCGTTTCCCCGGGTGTAAATAGCCGGGGGGAATTAGTACCCTAGCACGGCGCTTCGCTTCGGGGATTATAATATAAAGTTTTCAAAATGTTTGCATGACATTAAAATTGGAAAAAATGCGATATAAAATATTCTCGCAATAAGAACATCTTAATTCCCTCTTACGATTTGAGGAATATATAAATAACAAGAATAGGCGAATATACAGTTCAAGCGTTTGTTTTGATGAATCGCTCAATTTGATTGGCTGCTGACGACAGGGGTGGATCTAGGGGTCGTCAAACTTGTCACGAGACTAACGTAAAAATTGCAAACTTAATTGAAGTAATCGAAGTCTTAAATATTGGACCAATAGTCCAGTAAATCATGCAGCGACACCTTATAACAGTCCAGTATCTATTATCATACAGCTCTAGCAATTTTGACTTTTTGACTCATTCACTTTGCGTATGTCAGCTGTTCATTGACTTGACTAAGCTCGTCGGCTCAGCCTAAAAGTAACATTCCAATCGAACTGTAGTCCAGTGATCAAATTTCATACAGTGGCTGAGCCGACGAGCTTAGGCAAGTCAATGGACAGCTGACATACGCAAAGCCGATCAGTCAAAAAGTCAAAATCCAGTGTTCTGACTGGTCTAGACGCTTATTTCCATGGAAACAATGGCGATTTATTTCAATTTTGACTGATCTGCATGTGGGGAGTTCTGACTGATTTACAAACGTCAGGGGCGCCCAATTAGTTGGAATATCATTAATATTTTGGTAAAGTATTTCCGAGCGCGCGCTCATTCGAAATGTCATGTTGGAGCTTTGTCGAATCTTATTCTATTCAAAGAGTCTACAATTCTACGGAAAATTCGTAAATGTCTGCTTGCTCCAGTCCTTATAGTATTCACGAAACGGTTCAATCCGCATTTGCGGTGAATGATTTGGCCGTCTTACAAGACTGTTGCACTGACCTTGGGAGGAAAATCGACGCAGTTACTAGATACCACGAGTAGCACGAACTACTGTTTGAGTAGAATATTGGCGCCGAGATCTTTATTCTGAAGTGCAATAAGGTAAATTAATGCGATATGTAAATTTTATTTCGTTTTAGATAGCATAATAATATTTCCATTTCGCATAACAAGATGCGCGCCATGTACATGTAAATATATACGCCCCGTATCTTGATTTAGATTTACAGTATAGCTATGAATTTTGATTTTCACAACAAATTTGCATATTTGTGTGGTTGAAGGACCGTCAGAACTCGGAAGGCTATTAATAGAGAGGTTAAGATACCCAGGTTCCGTTTTACGGGTACGAGTATCGCCATTTTGTTTACCAATTTTTTGCTGATGTCAGCATTTTACCCGTAATTTCTACCCGTTTCCCCGCGGTAAAACATGGTCCCCGCGGTAAGACAAACCCCGCGGTAAGACAAACGGGTACCGGTGTTTTCTATTTACTATTTGTGGGCCGCTTAAATAGTAAAATTTTCAACATCTTACCCGAATAAATAATGCACTTATACTTGTCAAAGTTTTCAACAATCTATAGCGAACCTCAATAGCGAAAGTTGCCATTCTCTGATAGGTCATACTCGCCAGTTAAGTGGTCAATGACTCAACAAGGCTATTTAAACATAATTCTAGCAATCCGTAATTTGATAAAATGAAACATCTTCCACAATTATCACATTTCTGCAACTACGTCTCCTTTACTTTTCCCTAAGGAGTGAGTTGTGAGAGTCAGTGAAACTGATAATTACTACAATTATCTCCCATTTCATGAGGTTAATTTTTTGTTGAAGCTGCTCTCAGTCTCAGAGTGCTGCAAATGGCGTTTAAAAATAAAATGTTTCTGGGGGGCAGACCCCCCTAGGTGAGTCGTGCATTCGCCGTTCGCAAAACTAGATTGTACATCCGAAAACTTTGACTAACGTACGAAAAATCCTGGATCCGCCCCTGTCAGCCAGTATGCTTCTTTAATTTTCATCCAGTTTAATTGTACTAAATATCCCATAAACATAGAACATATCATTCTTACAAATCGTATGCTTTTTTGTTTTTGGAATTGCTACTTTTTGGCGTGTAAATTACTTCACAAACTTGGCCGGCGCCAAAAAATTTAAAATAAGCTATAGGCGATTTCATGTATCCATTTAGAAGAGCAGACTAAGGATATCTTAAGCATATCTTAAGGATATCTTAAGGATATCTATCGTTTCGAATACAACCATCAGGGACGTAGCAAAGCATCTGACATTTGGGGGCGGGGATGTCGGAGAATTATACGTGTAATAATTATAATAAAGCTTTTCGTGATTGATTGGCACTCTCATACTAGGTTTTGGGGGAAAGCGGGGTCTGGGGGTTCTCCCCCAGAAAATTTTTACATTTTTGAAGCTCTAGGACTGAATTTCTGGCGTTTTCTAAAGCAATTTCGCAAAAAAATTGCATGTAAAATGACTGTATTTCACAAAAATGGTTATCATTTCACAAAAAATAATTACTTTATTACGCAAATTTAACCTAAAATTGTCAAAATTTTAGCTTGAATTTGCTGGTGCCAAAACTTTGAAAAGTTTAGAGCCCCCTTTCAGTATATCGAGAACTTTCAGAGACCCCCCCTTTAATGCCAGAAAATATTTCGCTGTACCCCCCTTAACATCTTCATCCCCCCCTCGGCATAATAATTTTACTTCCCCTAACATCTGAACAACGAATGAACAATGAGGCCTGAAGATATTACAAGATTATCGGCTGAACATAGGGAGGAGTATATGAGAATTCCTTAAAGACAAAAAAGAAAAGCAAACGATATACTATTGCAGGAACTGAAGCCCATCGTATAGATTTTGTAAAGACACATACATTGGGACGCGAACTCAATATTAGCGGTGCAAAGGCTGGCAGAACATATACTATAGAGACCCAATTGAGAAAAACAAGGGTTGGCCAGATAGACTTTGGAAAAGTATAAACAAAGACACAAAGTCACTGGTCGTAATGCTAAATCAACTCCTATTCTCCTAAATGCATTTTTTCAGGCAGTGTTATGTTACATTTGAATGCACAATCAATATCAGAAATTCTTAATTAACAAGCATTTTTGCACTATCGCAAACGGACTGGCGGAGAAATTTAGATCTGTTACTCGGACTGCAACGCCAGTAGCGTCAAGCAATGAAATTTGTGACTCACAAAAATTTGATTTTGAGCCCATACCAGTAGAATATGTCAAAATGCAACTGCGTAGACTCCAAACGAATAGTAAGGCAAACGGAATCATACCAGCACTCGCTTGTCAAAAGACGCTGCACCCGTAATATTTTACCAAACTTATAACGACAATTTTCAATCGATCGCTCTCTTTAGCTTCCTGTCCATGCCAAGCCCCTTGAAAATCGGGAGAGTGGCAGCACTTCATAAACAAGGAGATCGGACGGATGTTAGTAATTATAGGCCGATAACGATCTTTTCAACAATCAACAGCATATTTGAGCGAGCGCGCGGTTTACTTTCTACGAATATCTAGCTTGTTGCCAGAACGATCCTTGCAAAAGAACAGTTTGGTTTTCGAGCAAATAGATGATAGATATCTGGCCTCCATGCATAGATGCAGGCAAAGTAACAGAAGCTGCTATCCCTGACCTAAGCAAAGTGTTCGACACTGTATAAACACTGTTGACCATGGACTGCTGCTGCATAAACTAACTCGTTCTGGTCGGTCAAATAACCTGGTTTTGGTCTTATTTATTAGATCAATATATTACGAAAGTCACCGAACTGTGGAATCGCATAAAAAATTCGTACATCGACCACTCCCACAAACGTCTACGACCGCGCCTACATAGCATGGCATGTTTACAATTCTAATTTTAAACAGCCAATAAGGTTCTTGGTAACAATTGCAATTAAACGTCTATTGGCTGTTTAATATTAGAATTGTAAACATGCAAAAATATTACGTAGACGTTTGTGGGAGTGGTCGATATACGAATTTTTTATGCGATTCCACAGCTCTGTGACTTTCGTAATAATTAAATGTCACGATGATAGATACAAAAAAACTTTCATGATGAGCTAGTACCTTTGGTGTACCACAAGGAAGTATTTTGGACCGTTGCAACGTTGCTGTTTATTATATTTGTGAACGATCTGCCTCATTGCTTCCAATTTTGCTAAGTAATAGTCCTTGCAGACGATACTGTCATTTACTATATACATCATCCATGTTAAGTGAGGTTAAATCAAAACTCAATACAGATTTGGAGCGTAACGAAATGTTGTTAACACTGAACTTTAAGAAATCTTCCTTCTCATAGGAGGTTAATTAATTAATAAAAATCTTAGTACGGGAAGATCGAACTTGTTAAGTACAAAGTAAACAAATTAAACAGTCCTAATTTATATGACTAATTGTCATTTAGATCGAGTATAACTCAGCTGATATGTAAAAGGCTGCAAAATTTTGAACTTAATAAAAATATATCTATCTATCACATTGTATAGAGATTTTTATATATTGTGAATATCTGTTCTATATATATTGTTATATAATTGAAAAACACATTTGGTGACATGAACCCCCGGATTAAATATTATTATTATTAATTTCAGTCCGCTCAGAAAAAAGTCAGCATGGCATCCATATGTAGGCTAGAAAAAGATTGACATTGAGGAACTTGAAGAGAAATCTAATTAAGGTATTATCTTGTATTTAGACATGTTTGGGAATGGAGTTAAATATTTCCATCATACAGGGTACCTGTGCATCTTGGTTCTCTTCTTCCAGTGCTGTCACAGATTCATAAAGCTCTGACACGTTAGTCTTGACAATTTTAAGAAGATCAGCGTCTACTGCATGACCACAGCACAATTGCGGACCTTTAAAAAATCAAATGATGATTATGCCCTTGTCAGCGAGGCCGGTGAACACGTGCGAGGATGTCAATCCCCAGATATGTTTCCAATTTATGTACGGGATCAACAATGTATACAGTGACTCATCAATCAAAAAGATATAATTTGGTAGGTACCGAAACGACACAACGGGTTTTGCTGCAACGTCAAGAGAACAATATCATATCGGAGCAGTGTTTTTTGGAAGGGGCAAGAAAATATGGAGGAAAAAACTCCAAGATCGAGCAGAAAATAGGAAATAATATACTTTCCGGAAATGTAATATACTGTAAATGGCGCAGATGATGCGCTAATTCGCACCCAAGGTGAAGAAATTCAGAATGAAATCATGACACTCCAGACGAAACATATATAAGAGCACATGCAGAACCGAACAAGAATGTTGTTTACATGCACAAGACCTCATCGCAGAACGCATTACTTACGTAAAATACAATTTAATTAACTGTATATTATATTATTTGAAATTTAAACCGATAACGGCGGGGCAAAACGTTTAGTAGGAATTTAATGTACATTTTTTGAACTTTAAAGTTATTTAAATTAACGTACTTCAACGTCATAATTCCAAAAATTGCATGAATTTATGTCCAGTCTCAAAAACGCCAAAATGTTGATAAAATAGAGCATCCGAATTCAAGCAGATGTTGAATCCCATTTGTAATATAAGGCCGATATAACATACAATTTGATTGGCTAATGCGCTTGCGTTATAATGCAAAAATGCACTGTGGTCTTTCTGTGTTTTTCCTGCTCCGCTTTGTAGCCACAAATATAAACAAAACGATAAAGTTTTTAAAATACAAAATTTATCAGAAATGATGTGATTCAGAATGTACCTTTAATACCTCTGATAGGAACTGTCAAATATATTTTCAGCGGAGGAAAAAATACAATAATTTCAAGCAATACAATGTATTCCACGGTTTTCATGGCAATTCCGGCAGACCAGACGCTGAAAAATCTTATCGACTTAGTTTGCTTATCACTAATCGTTCTACTGTATTTCCAGCGTTTTAAACAAATTTTCTCAAAACTGTAACATTATTTTGCTCGGCTCCTTCCCGGGTTATGTTGACAAACGTGTTGCTAAGCGACATGTAATAAGTATATGCGCGGATTTCACTGATTATATGTTAGGAGAATTTTGTGTAAAATTGATTCCCATGTAATATCTCCTAAACTAACTTTATAGAATAAACTATAGGAAAACTCTAATAGTGCGTTCAGGTGTGTTAATGCACGGGGGAATATTGGGTGTAGGAAGTCTAGGAATACATAAATTTACTGAAACTTCATTAACTTTCTAACTTTTCCCCGCCTAGTAAATCATAGACTGTTCACTTTACAGCATTATTTTACATGGCTATATAAGATATGTTATGGAGTGGTTATATATAATTTGATTTCCACTACCACTACCGCGCTATACCCTACTGGATCAGTACGCATCTGATTGATTAAGAGGTAGATTAAGCGTGTCAATATCAAATTTGATGTGGATAGTTTTTAGATAAACATTCCTTGCAAATCTGGCAAATTTTCTGCTGAATATACATGTAAATATTATACATAGAAAATTACCTTTGTCTTTCCAGTTATTCAGTTCTTTAAGAAATTCGTTTTCGTCAGCACTTGGCAAATTTAATTTCTTCACCAGTGTCTCGATATGCTGTATACACGAGAGATAATTTGCATCGCTCCAGTGTGAAAAATTACAATGAGCCCATTCGTTCCTCACCACTGAACGAACTGTATTTGCTTGTGCAGCAGCTCCAGATGTGTGAAATGGGTCAGCTTCACACATCACTGTTAATACAGCAGAAAGATCCATGGTTTGGTCAAAGCCGTTGAACTTTGCCATGAAAGGTTGGACAAATAACTTGGCAAGAGATTCCGGATCTTTGACATTATAATCATAAGCATTATATGTTAACTTGTGGTTGTCATAATTCTTGTTGATATTACCGTAATTCAGTTTTATCGTGGAAGGTGGTAACGTTTTTGTTTCTTTTTTGTAAATTTGGTTGTTGATTTGCTTTGACGACGGGAGGCAAAGTAGGTTATACCAACCCAACATTTCTTTTGCAAGAACATTTCTCAATAGCGGAGTAAGAAGTTTGTTGAGACAAATGCCAATGACGACCCATCTTCGTTGATCGTCGGTGATGACTGTAGGTGGAGTCACTGCAGGCAAGCTTCCTGCTACGGCGGTAGCCATAGTAATCCCTGCAATCAAAAGGCTATAATGTTAGAGGAGTTTGTAGGCACTTCATCCAATAGACTTTATGCATAATGACGTCATAAGGCTTGATGCTGGTCTTAGTAGTCATCGCCCGGGAAAATTTCGATAGTGGCCATTTTGAATTGTTTAATTTTCCAGGGAGATGACGTCCATAGATATAGGAGATCTAGATTGCTAACGCATACCTAGCGCAGGCGGGGCCTTACATGATAAATCCAAGATGGCGGTCCAACAGGGCAAAAAGACTATAGATTCTATTACGAAAATCAGGATTTTTGCATTTTTTTCCGTCGCATTGTTTCGAAACTTATTCGGTCAAATTTTATGGTAAAGAGAAACTTACCGCGAAGATTTTGAGCATATATATGATTGAATTGGATTAAAAATCGCAAAATTATCCAGCGATAAAAGTTCGTGTGAAATGGTCAGTTTGTCAGTTGGAGCGTTTTATTGCCAGAAATACTGTGCTATGTTAATATCTAGCCTTGTGAATGGTGTTTTATACTTGCATCTCTCATCATCATCTGCTCTGTCCTCATAATTATGCAAAATAAACTGTTATGTACCCCCCCCCCCTTTCCTTGCTTGTTAGAGAAGTAAACTGATGAGAGCACTGGATGAGGGTCTATCATCTATGGCCATGGTCTGTTATAATTTGCTTTTTATGCAAATAGTGAGCAAAAATTAAAGCAAAACTGTACAAGTTACATATATTGGACTATATCAGTACTATACACAAACTTTTATCGATGGATAATTTTGCGAGTTTTCATCCAATGCAATCATATATATGCTAAAAATCTTCGCGGTAAATTTCTCTTTACCATAAAATTTGACCGAATACGTTTCAAAACAATGCTACGGCAAAAAATGCAAAAATCCTGATTTTCGTAATAGAATTTATAGTCTTTTTGCCCTGTTGTACCGCCATCTTGGATTTATCATGTAGGCCCCGCCTGCGCTAGGTATGCGTTAGCAATCTAGATCTCCTATATCTATGAAGATGACCAGCATTCCTCGCGGGCATCAGACTTGTGACGTCATTATGCATTATGCATAATTTTTGTATGTTTGTTATTTATTTATGTTTGTTAATTGTCAAAATAATAATCATGTAAATAGTTTGTATTATGTATTTGTATTAGTCTTATTCTTACACGTCCCCTATGGAAACCATCAAAATATGTTAGGGCTAACGTGTTTAAATAAATTTTTATGTATATGTATGTATGTTTTTCTATAGGACTAAAAGTTCGGGATTCGGTGGCGTAGTCGTTCGTGAGAGCAAGCGCATTTGCCCTGACTGCCTGAGTCTGTGGGTTTGATTCACGCTACGGGATCATGTGCATGAAGAGAGCCCGTCGTCCACTAAGGAAACTTAACATTGTCTATGGTAGGATAAACACAGTTATAGAAGAGTAATATCACAATTTTTGCAAAGATGAATTAGTCTAGGATTGGTAAAATAGTCAAAGTATGTAAAATAGTCCTGTAGCCGGGATGACGTCAAAATCACGCGTAGAATCGACTGCTGGCATATTTCCTAACTCATACGATACAAAGGTCGCATTGTTTTGACATTTTTAAATGTATTTCCGGGTGGGATTAACTCACAATCAGACAAGAAATGGAAATACCGGCGGTGATACTTTTATCAAAATTTGAAGATACAGTCTCGCAAATGACACCCTAAATAGCGCTGTTTATAGCGATTCGAACAAGACTATTACAAAGAATACACGTCCAAAGGGGTCAAAGTTATCTTCGTCGAAAGGTATGGCTAGTCTATATTTTTGTTCAGCCGGACAATTGCATAATTTGATAATATACGATCTCACTTGACTTTCAAAGCTCATAAATCGCTATAATGTTGACATTGTCGAAAAGTAGCGTTAGGAATTAGTAGATATTTTTACACTGAATCGAACGGTGATATTTTCATCAAAATAACGTTATTTTACGGAACCGAAGATATGAATAGGCAAAAAAATAGTACATCGCTATCGACCTAGGTTTTTTGGGGTTGGGAGCTTGCCAAGCTATTCTACGGCCTATCGTGGCAGTTAGTTCAAGCAAGAGACTCTTATACAGTCACTACCAAATTGTAGGCCAACTCAAGACTCAAGAGAGGCCAAGACTCGCAGTGTAAACTACGCAGCTCTGGCCTCTGGCAATATTTCATTACAATCCTTGCCAATAATAAGAAAGATTCGGATTGACACGATACAACTTTATATTTGAAAAATTAAAAACACAAGTTTCGAAGTTTCGAGCGAAGGCCCTTCGTCAGGGAGTATAGCATGGTAGCGACATTTGTAACTTGCCGACGAAGCGTATCTGTTCGAAACGTCGAAGTACTCCTTGTATATTTCAGATATTTGTATCCCTATCCATCCGAAGCTTTCGTATTTCAATGCAACCTTTTCCCTGCAGCAAGATTAGAATTGAGCCCCGAAAAACGAAATATAAATTAACATAGAAAACCTGATATTTCTGCTACTGTATACCAGTCTTGGTAAGTACAAAGCTGAAGTGTGACAAGTATCAGATTTACTACCAAAAGGAATGCATTATTTAACGCAGCTCTCCCAACATGCGTTGAATGAATTGTACAAAATACAAAATTATTGTAGTTGTTGGTATTCTACCAAAGCATGCATGGATCTAATGTCTTATTTCCTTGTAATATGGGCAATCCGCATCCTTTAAAACTAAGTCACTTAGAATAACGTAATCGCAAATTCGAACATGAATGGTTATAGGTCATTATAATTTAGATCGAAATTCACGCATTACAAAGTCAAAGAATAAACATAGTACGACTCCTTACCTTATGTCTGGCCTTCACTACGATGCAAGCATCGGCACTGATTAATTTGTAACGACCATTCCGCATCTGATTGAAGAAGAACAGCCATTGCATGATACTTCATAGTTAATACATAATACAATCCTTTAATCTGCAATTCAGATTCATTCTGGGAATTAAAATACTTGGAATTTTGAAAGCGGAACTCGGAAGTGAAAAATTTATTATTTTAATATGAACTAGATTTCAAGTCCCGCAATTTGATCAAGGATTTCAAATGACATCTTGTACGAATAAATCACTACTTAATTATTAAAGCCAGGTGAATTAATTTTGATCCAGTCCTAGGAATGGATCAATTTACTTCACCAGGTATCCAGTATTATCATGTGAGCAAAATAAAAGATTATGGTTGGCTAATTTACTTATGAATTATTAATGAGTTTGAGATGTAGAGATACTGTACCCTGCAATGACATGACGATATATCCCATTAGAAATATGATAAGTATTCATGCGTAAAACGATATAGAAAATAATTTAGAAAGAAACTGTACTAGGTCTGTACTACATGAATTAAACTAGGAGTTACTATCGCAAGGAAAATGCTGCCGATATGTACATGTAGGATGTGCTACAAAAAGAGTGTTTTTCACTGTATGTATGATTTATTGTCTTACACATCGTCGTTCCTCAGTTACCTTCGTACAATTATATCTTACATCTAATCTTATGAAAAGTATATTTTAATATACTTAACAGTGCGACTTTGATAGTTGACACATAATATAAATGATAAAATGTGAATATTATTGAATGATTTTGTCACTCGTACAACTTTTAATTTGGCTATTCAAACAATTGATTTAAAATAGTTGAATTTATACTTACTGGGATGTTATTGCTTATTGGGATGTTGAAATTATGTTTGTTTTAAATACATTTAATTGATATTCCATAAATTCATTTTGTATGATTTCATTGACCTTGACGTTGTTCAAAATCATTTTGTATTGTATTGAAACTGTATGTCTATGACCTATGTTATGTACTATATTAACCCATTGAGTCGCATTGCATCCTGATGCACCCTACTTTGAACAGTATTTTACTCTGTCTAATGCCAGACGATTTTACTCGTCAAGGGGAGAGTGCTGGCGCTTAATGGGTTAACACGCCCAAAATCTGTACTAAAACTGCTAATTCTGTTTTGTGATTGGCACAGTTTAATCAAAGAATCCTCCCGTTGAACCTTCACAATATTTCAATTTATTATTAACTGAAGGCTCTGGAATCCAGGATAGCTTGCCATTGAATACAGTGCAATGCTTATATTTCTGAATGAATAAGATCATACTCAGAACAGTCAGAACTGCAAAACTATATTGTTAGAAAGAAGTTGAAGTTGTGAGCATTATTGTGGTAACAGCTCCATATGTATATATCAATGTATGTCAGTAGAATCATGTTTATAGGCTTTATATATAACTGAAGCAGTCTTATACAAGTCATATCTTATACAAAAGTCAGTTGATATGCTATATTACATGTAATTGCTGATAAGTCCATATATGCAGACAACAATCCACACTGGGTAGCTCTAGGAATCTTGTTAAGCCTGATTTAACAACATCCCGCGTTTGTTTTTAAACTATAAACGTCTAGAAATAGAACGTACCGAACACTATTATATACTCACCGCCTTTGGCTTTGCACATATTAAGTGACATAACAAACAAATAAACTAAAAGTTCATTTGCTTCTTGTATCAGCATAAAGGCATGAATCATTACTGTCGATTTAGTCGGGAATAGATCAGTGATTCAGTGGGTATTATAATTGCCGATATATTCTTGAAATCATATTGTTTCAATGCCTCTATATCGAAGTTTAATACACTAAAGTGACTAAACAAGTATAAACAGCAGAATTAAATATAAATGCCTTCATGTATTATAAAATATATCACCAGACAGGTAGACAGGGCACACGGCACGACTACATCACTATACGAGAACGAAATAAAGCCATCCTTACCTGAATTATTCAAAATATTGTCGATCATTCTTGCGCCAGAGACACAAAATAACACCGTGCTTTATTTACCCATTCATCTTCACAAATATTACTCGGAATTTTTATGGAAATTCGCATTATTTTATGATTTTTATATTTCTGTCCGTTTATAACAGTCGCCATGTTGTGAACAAACCCCACCCCCCCGGGAACAAAAAAAATAATATCAAAACAGCTAGTTTTGGCCCGTCCGTGGATGACAAAATGACATAAATCGAGATTGTAGCGGCTATAAACTCGGCGGTCACGTGGTAAGCACACCACGTGTAGAGATTAGTGTGCTGCCTCGCTACGCTCGGCAGCAACTACAGTAGCAAGAGGAATTAAATAAGATCAGAATGGTCAGAATTAATGTTAATTTTATTGTTGTGTTTTGTGGTCCATGGGTTTTGGTGGCAGCATGCGCATGCGCGGCTAACCACAATGCACAAACTGTAAAATGGCGAGGAATTTAAATGCCGAATTGTAAACAAAAACACTCTGATGGCTATTTAATTATTTAAGGTAATTGAAACAAACAAAAAATACACTAGAAAAGAAGTTTATACATTAATAAAAAGTTTTCTAAAGGCCCTGTCACACTATTGCGTATGAGAGAAAGTATGAGAAGCGTATGAAAATTAATGAAGTAATTTTCATACGCACAAAAATCCTTTGAAATGCCAGCGTATGAGTACCGTACATCTGGCGTATCTCTAGCGTATTCAGCGTGTGCCTAGAGTATGCTTATCATGATAAAGCGTACGTCCAAATACGCACAAAATTTTTGAGCATGCTTAAAAAAACTTTTCTGCCTCGCCGTATGCCACCGTATGCGACCGTGCTTGGAACGTATACAACCTATGCGTAACGTACCCCTAACGTATGTCAGCGTATACCGGCGTATGAGTGATATTTTTCATACGCTAGTACGATACGCAATGGTGTGACAGGGCCTTAACATTTAAAATCCGTAAAAAACTAACAGAATTTAAATTAATAATTACCGTTTAAGACCGGGAGGCCTACAGGTCATTTTTTAACTATATAACTGGGGGAGGGGGGGGGGCAAAGCCCCCCAGCCCCCTTGGTGCCCCCCTCCCCCACTCAAACATTTTGCCCCCCCCCCCAGCCAAAGTCCAAAATGAAGATGCTATTTACTGTTTGTGATAAGAATATGACTTGTTGGCGTAAGTTCATTGCTCTGATCAGGAAATCTTGAGCAGATTCTTTGGGACCTTAGCACATTTGTGTAAGTTCCTGGTAAATTTCTGTTGCAGACTTTTCCTTGAAATGTGCCCTTAAAATTTGCTTCAAACGGGACAAGGACAACCCACTCATCATTTCTAGGTATGAGCGCAATTTTAAACTAGGGCTCACAGCACGCATCACTGCTTCAATTATTTCAGTTTCCTTGTTTCCAGATTTTACGCCAGTGTCAATTTGTCGAACAAGACTGACAAAGGACAATCCATCTTTGTGGCCTTCAACACTGATGGTTCCACTGATGTTCTTTTACGGCATGGAAATCGTTCAAATCGTAAGAAAATAACACTTACTTTCTTCCCAAACGTACAGCCATGGAAATATCACGTCTTTACTCTCCAGTTAAATCACAAATTACGGTGGCATACGGTGGCATACGGTGGCATACGGGGGCATACGGTGGCATACGGTGGCATACGGCGAGGAAGAACATGAAAATTGTTTAAGGCCAATGGAACTGTAGATTCTGTTTACCGTCCGAGAATTTAAAAAATCTGATGCGGGTTTTTTTCATTATTCATTTTTCAATATTTTTGTTATTGTCTATTTTCCGACCAAAAATTATCTTTAAATCGTTTTCTTTTGATTTCGACCATCAACACTTCTGTCCAGCATTCTTTTATCATTTTTAGGCTTTCCTTTGCTGAAAATTTCTTTGTCACGCCATTGTTTTCGAATTTGCACATGTCAGACTCGCGAATTTCCGAGTGTACCGAACAAATGCTGACTGATCCATCATACACCAGCGATGTACTGCTTTTTATATCGAAGATTTGATGATCTGATGTATATTTGAAAGTTTCGATGCGTAGAATTAAAAATAATGACAAATAATGAAAATAATTCAGAATAATAAAAAATTCTTGCGGTAGTTTCAAGCACATGCGGGCGGTGGACGGTAAACAGAATCCATTGGCCTAGGCATGCTCAAAAATTTTGTGCGTATTCGGACGTATTGTTTATACGATAAGCATGATCTAGGCACACGCTGAATACGCTAGAGCTACGCCAGATGTACGGTGTTCATACGCTGGCTTTTCAAAATCCTTTCGTGTGTATGAAAATTATTTCATTAATTTTCATACGCTTCTCATACGTTTCTCCCATACGCAATAGTGTGACAGGGCCTTTGCGTTTACCTCTCGCGAAATCATCAAAAGCCCGTATCAGATCGTCAATTCACTCCAAAATCAGGAATTTTACCCTCTTGAACGCCACAATTCGGCGTGAAATAACCCGAGTGGCATCCTGGCAGGATCGCCAAAATGTTACCGATGTTAAATGATCAAACGATTGAAGAAAACAACGATAAATATATTTCTGTTAATTCAACTTGAAAGTTTTTACAACCCCCTTCGCACTTCTGAACGTGTTCACAGTTTGACGTCACGTGACACCATCCTATATCCGGTGCAGGGAAACGGAAGTAAAAATAAACTTGGGAGTAGGGTCATTAAGGGTCAGTATTTCTCACATATACAAACGAATATCATAGTGCCTTTGAGGTTCCCCATCGATGAGTAAAATCGTCTGGCGTTAGACAAGTAAAAGAAATAAGTAGGATGCGATGGGCCGCATTGGTTAACCAGAGACATTTTCAGATTTTTTGGTTAACCCATTAAGCTGCAGAGCTTCCACAAAGGCGAGTAAATTCGTCTGGCGTTAAGACAAGTAAAAGAAATTAATAGGACACACAGAGGTGCATTGCAATTCAATGAGTTAAGTCAAGTGAGATACCCGGCTACCACTCTCTCCTCCGCAGAGCTTTCCTCGCTTTTTAACAAGGCGAAGTTTCGATTTCATAAGTCTAGCGCCTCTGCAATTTTCCCTTTCGTAAACGGTCTTTGCCATCCCTACTCGAGTTACATCTCGGGAGCTCACGATTTCTCGCCACGCGGCACGCGCTAAGTGCGCCCTTCATGAAGGCAAGAAAGTTCGAATATTTTTCGTCGAATTTGAATCAATAGAAGGTCGAAGGTTGTGTTTGTTTGTTTCTTTGTTCAAAACGGTATGGCTGCATCAAATGGAGAAGCTATGAGATCATTGAAAAGAACAACCGGATGGAATAAATTTTACAGACAAGTTGCCGTAAGTGCTTTAATATTGTGCTTTTATTGATTCATTTGTTAAGAAATGCTAAGCCTATATACGTACTAATGACTTAATAATATATCTATGTGGCTCAGCACGTGGTCATTAGATAAAGCATATAAACACAATGAAAACTGGAGAAGATTATTCAACAGTTTCCTTTTCTGATGGCCATTCATCTTGGAATTATTTCGATGTAAATCATGTCGGTTTGAGTGGTCTGATCATGTCGAGAATCACATCGATGAATCGCCATTCGGTGAATCGCCTTGTTGGTCTTATAACATCGAAGCTTCGCATTGTTAAAAAGCCAGGAAAGCTCTGCGGAGGAAACACAGGCTACCAGCTATTCAACAGCTAGTCCAGCAATGGTTGAAAATTTGGCCAACATTGCCATTGGCAGATAAACTTGCTTAATCAGTAAGTTTTGCCTTTCTTGTGCTCATTTTTTATTTATAAATATAACCTCAGCATTATAACAATGTTACTGGCAAAGAATTAGCATAACATTCATTTATTTATAAAGCCTATGATTTACAAGAGAGAAATTCAATCTACAGTACTGTATAATTTGAGACGCATAGCTTGCATTCAATCTTCATGATCATACAGTACAAAAGTAGTCCGAATACGTATACCATACTTAATATAAGCAAAATTCTCTGCTCAGTGGTCTAAAATATAATACAAATATACTGTCATTTAGAAAACAATTATATTAAAAAAAATATCATCTGTAATACGAAGGATTGATAGGTCGATATTAAATAGATTTTATATGTGCCTTCAATTGATTGCGATCAAATCTATCACAATCAATTGAAATGGAAATAAATCGCTACAAAATATCAAAACAGTCGCCAAAAATTGAGCTTTATTACGAAAATACGATCCATTTTAGTTCACCGAATAAACGAGACTTGATATAAACATAAAATGATAAAAAAATCGGCCACACTTTCACGCCGAAAATTCAAATGCAAAACGTCACACTTCGATATAAGGGGGTGGACATCTGTTATATTAAGGGGCGGTACGGCGCGCTCAATGTATAACTGGAGTGTCATGTAAATCCAGTGAACTGAATACAACTGTAAATTTTATTTTCGGCCCCCATTACACGCAAATAAAACGGAGAAAAGATATATATTGAAGCAAGTGTACCACATAATATGTCATGTTCTCAAAAGAATTCTATGTTTGCATTTAATAACGCCATAATAATCTACTTATCATGTCTACGTATCACGCCATGTAACGCAAAAAATAGATCTTCAGGCTCACGAACACTCATAGTCTAGTCAAAATATGAAATAATCACTTCCACCAAAAAAAAATTGCAAGAAATTGTTTTCAGGTAATTTCTGGTAGTATCAAGTGTGGGGAACAACATAATAAAAGTTTACCGAAATTGGTCACGTGAAAGCGTCTATTCATGACGTCGTAAAAAGATTGCCGCCAATGACCTAAAAATGTCAAATATCTACTTATGGAAACGCTGAAAATTGTAATAGATTGTGCAAATTATCCAAAAAACTCTAATATCACAATAGTAACAATATTATAGACCTCCGAAAATGTAGCCTGCGTAGCAGGCGTTTAGTGCGGCGGGAGATGAAAAGGCGTCGTTAAATAAACGCCTGCCCAAATGCCTATGATTAATTTGTTCTTCTCCGAAGAATCTTCGGAAAAGCTTCCCATTGGTTAATCTCGTTAACGGAAGTAATTACGTAACTCAAATGTCAACAATAATTTTGCTCGCGTTGACGCGTTTATAGTCGCGTATCAAAAATATGCCGCCTGTTAATGCTTTCGAGGAAACTTTCTTATATTTCAAGTATTTAGGCTTCGAAATTCAGTTGAACCAGAACAGAGAAAGTATATTATTAATTTGCTACGTGGTGAAGACGCCGGTTATCGCGATTCTTCCTAGGAATACGGAAAAGTTTGATCTTTCAATTATACATTTTAAATATATCCTGAATATTTCGTTAATATAGTTGTCTTGTTATTTGTTCACTTTAAAGTATAATTCAAGACCAGATAGTTGAGGCTATATCACTTGGCATTGCAGCTATGAGGTTGAATGATGATTTTAAGAATAACATTTCAAAACATGCTCAACTGTTATATTTGCTATACGGCAGAATACGTTAAACAACCGTGGTTCAGGAGTCTTTTAAAAGATAAAAGCTCTGTGCACGTTGTGACTGACTGTTGTCTAAAATAGCTTCAAAAACTCAATAATTCATGAGGAAAACACAAAGAAAAATCATAAACGTGTCGTATCCTTGATATGTGATAGAGATTTCCCTTGATTTACATAAATTTTAATGATTTTCTCTACATATACACACCGAATTTTTTGAAAGCTACTTCGCCAATGAACGTATACTAGATCGATCGTTTTTGAAGCAATTTAAAACATTCGCAGTGCGTGTTTTATCAGACCATCTTTATATCTGATAAAACACTGCTGCTCGTGTTTTAAATAGTGCATAAAATCTCTGCAAATCTCCGTAGTTGCCGAGCAAAAAGCATGCATGATGCTAAATATAAATCTCGACTATGATTGGATAATGGGTGAAGGTGCTAATTACAAAACGTCAATCATCCTTAATGGGCGAAAACAAATTTGTCATAGCCAATTTGGGCAGGCGTTCCCTCTGTACCCGCCCGTCAGCTAAACGCCTGCTACGCAGGCTACCGAAAATGTTATGCTGTGTCATGTTATGACGTCATCAATGACGTCATGACATTGATGTTCTGTTATGTCATTTCTTTCCTCTCGGGTTGCAAGCAATAAACTAATAAGTGTTCTAGTTCAATAGGTGAAAATGTGAAATTGTATAAAGGAAACAAGGTGCATGAGTTAACTTCTTTTCTGTTTTACACCTCTACGGCCTTATTGTGGTCGTACTTCTGGCTTTGTTTTAAAGTTTAAAGTATGAGATTTTTATTTTGATTTTTGGAAGTGCTAATATATTTAGCGAAAAACAAAAAGATACACAATAACATGTGATATATTAATAAAGTTTTAGTCTTTGGCTGTTAGAAATATAAAATGTGCATGTGTGAGGCTTTTTTGCAATATAAAACCTCATCATACTCACAGTAAATATAGGCAGGAGTACAGATTTTTTCGCCAAAGTGTAAAATTGTCAAAAAGCTGCCGCTCATAAAACTTTTATAAAGGTTCAAATCAAAACAAAATTATAGTTATAGTTATAGGCTACAATGTCTAATAACTTATCTATACGTTGTACAAATCGAGAACTGGAAATTCTATGGTTAAAAATATATATTTCCCATTATTTCTGTTGTTTTTCTGAAAAAAAACCCAGGAAAATTGTAGGGAAAAAACCGTATTACCATGGGTACCACTTATCTTCTATTCTTCTAGTACTTCATGTTATAACAACATGAAAAAAAATTGGGGGGAAATGCATCTTGAAGTATGATCTCTGCTACTGTAGTATAGACAAGTACATATCTTTGCTTTTAAAACGTTCTTAACAACATTTTTCTTGAATAATTATAAAAAGCAGTAAAAGAAAATTCTTCTGCCCATTGAACAGAAATAGTCAAATACACTTTGCGGATCGCACTAAAAACTTTTCAGTGCTGCCTTCAAACAATGCCATTTTCTGTTGAATCGCTGCAAAATATTAACAAGTTTTATGTTTCCCAGTAGCTTAAAAGTACCTATAACCACCATGTCTTCTTCCCTGTAGAATTATTCATTTTGCATTTCAGAGGCTCAAATGAGAGAAAGCCGGGATAATTGCTCTTTATGCGAGAATGTATTAGGAGATGAAGAACGAGTAGTAACTGGTGAGAAAGGGGCTGAAGGAGTCAACCGGACCAGCTTTGGAAGAGGTGATAGGATCGTTGTATGTTCTGAGACTGTGGTGCACAAAAAATGTCGCATGAATTACATCAATAAGAAGCAAATAGATTTGTATAAGAAGGCAAAGTTCAACAAGCCGTCCCTACCTGTCAAACGAAGTGCACGCGCTTCTATTGGGCCTTATGACAGCAGGACGCATTGTTTATTCTGCGGAAATGAAATAGTAAAGGCATCAAGTAGTGGCGTATATTCTGAAGAATACAGCTGTGTTAAAACAGATACATTTGTGGAAACAGTCTTGTCGCATTGTAAACAGCGTAACGACGATTGGGCATTTACTGCTCAAGGGAGAATAGAATACTTTGGAAAGGATTTGCATGTTGCAGACAGTCTGTATCATCGGTCATGTGACATTCATTTTCGCACAAATAGAGGTATTCCCATGCAGTACCAAGTTGGATTTACTGAAAAGATCAGAGGTGTGTTGTTGTGCACACTTCATGTTAAATGTATGGAAAATTCCCAGTCCGGTCATACAATGGTTCGGAAAATACAATGGTTTTGTCAGCAAGGCGAGGGTTTCTACATGCATATATTTTCTAGTATATTTAATATTTCATAGTATTTTGTGCATACAGAAGTTCAATGTTAAATATTTTTACAATAATTTGAGGAATGGAATATTGCAGCATATACTACTGTATTCTATTTACATGCCTTTGTAATTTTGTTTGTATAGGAATAAATAAGTGTATGGGTAAATATCAGGATTTTGGGCACCTACACTCAATATAACTAATCGTCGATAGTATTTGTAGATGGAAATTTCGTGAATTTTATACATTGATTAAACCTAACCAGGAGCTGCATGTTGCCTTGCGATTCGGGTGCAGCCCTCTAATCAACTGAGCTTCTGAGGTCAGCTGTCAAGCTCTAACCGCAAGTTCATGTACAGTATGTATACTAAATTGATGCCAATGTAAGGTGTATAGGCAAATTTCCATCCATAAAGTGCATCTATAATTCGTAATATCAAGTGTAGGTGCCCAAAATCATACGGAAATGCATTAGTCTTCAAGTTGCACACGGGCATTTACACTATCATAACCAATCAAATAAAATGCCCGGGTGTGTTCCGGGGGGGGGATGGTTACTCCTGGAATTGACTCATGCATTAGAGAAATGTTCCTTGTTATTTTTGCTATTTGTAATAAACTAATTGTGTTCTTTGCCACAGGAACCAATTTTTGATAACTAAATTATATTTTGATATTTACTGTTGTATTTTCTATGTAGATGCATAATTTGTGAATTATAATATTTGACGTTATCTGGATATTACTGTTCAGTTTTGTCCAATGTCGCCTAATGTCGCCCAATGTCGCCCAGTTTCGCCCAGCGACGCACACTACTTTTCTTTGAAAATTGCCAATGTCGCCTAATGTCGCACAATGTTGCACATAATAACGGCGACCTTGGCCCCCAAAGTAGGCCTGAAAATGGAATATAATGAAATCGTGTATATGCAAGCTTTCGTTGGTAGGAATGCAACTACCTGAAAAATACATAGCTACACTGTGTCTAGATGCCCGGCAGTCATTAGTATTCATAATAAAAATAGCTGATATATCATTTTAGCAAAACAAAACAAAAAGTTATTTTACAATGAATTTCAGCGAGGTGGTTAGTTAGTTCAGCAACTAAAGCATGTTGCTGATAAAAATTTCTTTACAGCATTTAAAGTTTTTTTCCAGACCAGTTTTAATTAGCTCCCCTCAACCTTCAGGGGTTAGATGTTAGAGCTGGGGTTATAATGATTGGGATCAGTTTATTTTTTAAATGTGACTTTAACTATAAATGCCAGTCTGCCGGGCATCTGGTATTTGGCTGCCATATTCCATTCCTATAATTATTGTAAATCTTGAAAATATTTAACAATGGAATCCTGTATGGAATAATACATTGTTGCACACCAGATATGTGCACCAAATACTAGGAAATATTAAATATACTGAGCAGGAGCAAGGTTTTGCAAAGTACATGCGTCATTGCGATCGGTTAAATACCTATATACATTCCATGCTGTCTTCGTCTGTGTTGTGAACAAATATTAGATGTCTATAATTCAAATTACAGTGTACTACACGACAATCCAATACCAAAGGAACTGTTGTATGCCTTACTTGACACTTCATAAGTGATCATAATGGCGATATAACAACTAGTACCGTTCTAGTGCAAATTGCTTGGTCATTATTTTAGAACATCGGCCATGATTTATGCACCTATCAATGTTAAGCCCCAGAGGGGGGCGGCCATAGGTGGGGCATTTGATTTTTTGAGCAGATTTTCAATCAAATGCCCCACCGTCGGGCAATAAATATTGGTCAAATGCCCCACCAATTTGCAATAAATACTATATTAGTAAAAGTCATTCGGTTCAAATTGCCCCAACTTGGGGCCAAAATGCTAATTAAAATCCCTAGGGTTGGAATGCAATTGATGTTCAAAACCCCACATATGCCCGACACCCCCCCCCCCCCTTTGGGGGTTAACATTGATAGGTGCATTATAGTATAGCTTGGGAAATAAGCGACCTTTGATAGCCAGTATAAGGGCTAAAAAAAATCCTTCTCTTTAAAGAAATTACACAAGGCTTCTTCTCAATCTATAGATAAATTTTTTCAACATTTAGAAGCGCACACGCTGTAGAAATGGCGATAGAAACTCAACATATTATATAAACCAAACGCTCCATCACTTGCCGCCATATTTGTTTAATTTGTTATTTGAGCGGCATCATATTTATCGTATTAATTTTCTTACATAAATTATTTTCCCAAAAAATCTGAAAAAACGGGCTGAGAGGACGTAGCAAGCTTACGCAGCATCTCAGGCTGATTGAGGCTGAATGTCGCTTAAGCTAGCGGGCCACCTCGGTTCCAATATAAACGCAGAATGAAATTTAGTAGGAACAATAAGAAAGGTGGGATATCTCGCCTATAAACGATCCAGATATAAACAGCTCATAACTCCAGAATTTTGTGAAACTACTACAGTTACAAGCCTCTAATAAACAGAAGGTTTCATTATGGAATAACATTGGAGTTACACTATATTTATAGTTGCTGTGAGCCCAGTGCTTTGTTTTGGTGAGCCAGCCTGCTACAAAAATCTCATGTAAACACGGGGTGAATTCATCTCGGAAACGCGAGCTACAGTCGCTCACTCTCCGCCTTCCCCCTGTTTCAACGCTGAAATGCTATTATCTTCCTGACAGAAACATAACGTGTCCCAACAACCGCAAGTAGTGCCCTATTGGCATTCAAAATCTAATGCTGCATGATATTTGAATAAAACAATAGTTTACAGCACAAAGGAACATTGAAACGAGGGGAAGGGCAGTACGTTTGTCTCAAATATTTTGTGGACGATTGCGGGTTGGCTCGCTGGCATTTTTGTGACGTCATGCAAGTGAGTCAAATCTTAACGGTCTGTTAGACTGTTATCAGTTTTGATCAGCTCGAGCCTCGAAGGTTTTGATCGCTGAACGTAACGGCTGAAGTGTTTTTATATTCTAAGTTCTATCATGGTTCTATATAAAGTATCATGTCGACAACTGAATCCGACAGTGGCGATCAGTCCGATGATTCCAGTGCGAATTTTATACCTGGTTTATATGTTGTGTTGGAAGATGCTGATCTGTAGCATCTCGCCAGGTCCCTAGTATTATCATTAAACGGTAAAACCACCAAATCTATACGACGCGTACGTGACGAAAAACTGCCGATTTTATCACAATTTCACTTCACGGGTAAAACTGTGGATTGTTGTTGGTAAACAAAGCTAGGGACACGAGAAAAATAAAATAAAACTAGTCTCCCATTATTAGCGACTGTTTTTTAGTCGCGTCTGCGTGGCTCTCTGCTAACGTAGACGTTCTATGACTTTGCAAGGTTTATATCTCTGGTTCGGTGCATGCTATGAAGACAAAAATACTACGACTCGATTCAGTGAAACAAAATCTCCTAACTCCCTGCAGCGAATCCCTGCCAGCGATAGTTTTAGACTTTTAGTCAGAACATAGTTAATATAATGAGATTAACTATGGTCATAGTATAGTTTTTAGTCAGATGGTATAGCTATTTATGACCTTTGTCTTTGATAGGTCAAGCGGTGTCATAATTCATTATATTACTCAATTTATAGTCTCGAACAATGTAAACTAGTCATATCTTTCGCCGAACATAACTTTGGCCCCTTTGGAAATATCTTTTTCGTAATAGTCTTATTCGAACCGGAATCGAAAACACCATTTAGAGTGTTATTTTCAAGCTTGTGTCTTCAGATTTGCATCTTTTATTTCGGTATTACAAAATATCTATATTATTAGCGGGCCCGTAAAACCGAAATTGAATCATCAAAACAAAGCAAATTATCGTCAGTCTTTTAATAATAGCTTCGGATAGTTAGGCTTGCCAAGCCCGTCAACGAAAAACACGAAAAGAATTGCCTCTCGTAATCCTCTGGTCAAAAATGATCCGAGTATATAGTCGAAGTCTAGCTTTGACGGCACAAACAAACGTTTTGTGGGATACCAACCCATACTTTTCTTCGTCTTTTAGCTTCCCCGCGTTCGTTATTGAAGTATGGAATATTGTATATATATATATATATTATTAAATTTGTCACAAATATTTACAATGACACTGATAAACAATATACATAACAAGCTACAAGACAACACACGTGACTGGAATGTGGAACAGGACTTACGTCCCAATTAATACCTCACCCCATATATACTTCATAGGCACTTTCTCGGTGTGAGAACAAACAAAAGCTTAACACTAATCTGAACTTGATCATTATATAAATTCTAACTGATTTATGGTTGTTCGTACACCGAGCTAGTGGGTGAACTTTACTGAACTAAACTAAATACTTAGTATTTATATTACAAACATTTTCTTCACAAAACTAAATATTAGCTACGGTTATTAGGAAGTTTGTATGATTTTGACTTGATACTATATAAGTTATTTAAACGAGTTTTAAACGAACATAAACTACTGGATTTCTTAATTTCAGTTGGTAGGCTGTTCCAAAGTTTTGCTGATCTAATAAAGTAAGAGTTTTGAAAGTATTCCTGATTATGTTTTATAATGAGGTGGAAGTTATTTTCGTCATAGTTGCGAGATTGATAGCCGGGATTGTAAGTGCATAAATATTTGTTTATATCCATTGTTATGAGGTGGTGTTTGGATTTGAACAGCAGTATCAGATCAGAAAGTTCTCTTCGGAATTCCAGTGGTAGAAGATTTGTTTTCTGCAACCGGTCCACGTACGACATGTTGTCAGGATAATTCAAGATGAATTTTGTGGCCCGCCTTTGAACATTCTCGATGAGCAAACAATGCTTAAAGGACAATGGCAACAAATTTTTTTATTGTCTGTATTTATTAAGCTTATTAATGGAATACTTAATTTCATATTTTTGTTTGTCTATTGCATTTAGTTGTTCAGATAATTTGCGAAAATGTTTAACAAATTTTAACAGTCGTCCGCCATCTTGGGAAATTCCGCGTATGCTAATTTATGCATGAATACATTTCGTGACGTAGATGGCAGGGCAAACGCAAATCCCACAGTATAAGTTACACTGTAACAACGTTGAGATTTGGAAGAAAATGTTTACACAAAAAATACAGATACGTTGCAACGTGTATTCGTAGTTCAATAATATGTAGCAGCTTACTACCAATGGTCTGTGACTGTGTTTTCGACAGTAAGCGTATATTTGCGTTGTAAAATGCGCTTAGACATTGACTCCGGTTATGGTAGTTCTGCTGTTCCAATTACATATATTATATATAATATTCCAAATGTATGTATATATGTATAGCATATACATTTATGTATGTGCATGCTCTGTTGCAGAAATATAGAAATATTTTGCATTGAAATAAAAGATTCTACTGAGTATTTAGTGTTTCAAAGTCTTGTTATTATTATTAATACAAAAATAATTCAACCAATTAACTGGCGGGACTGCAACAATGTTGCAGTGGATAATTCTAGCTTCAGATTTCACAACTATTAATGGTTTTTAAAACAAAGCAGGCTTTCAAACGACATTGCTATGCTAGCGAAATAGCTGTTATCTCACAAACAAGATTTGCCTCTTCTGTAATGTGTAGTGTCGCGCAAGTTAGACATTGCGCAAATTAGTAAATTGACATTCAAGGTCAGTTATGGGATTTTCCCAGACAAGAGATAAGTGTAAAATAACTATAATCTGGTTATATGTTGTGATGTATTTTTACATGTAGTTTAACTTGGTGTCTTGGTTCTCATTTTATATAGGTAAATATATGCATGTACTGTAGTGTATAGTTCCCAATATTATTAATATTTTCATTATGTAAAATACCGTAAATTCACGTGTGGGAATATATATATATATATCACCGAAATTGCAAATATTATATATAGTCAGCTCTGAGTACGGCTTGAATAACGAAAATATCTAGATTGTTCATGTAAAACGTAAGGTGCACTGCAAAACATGTGCCGTCTACGGTTGTAATAGTGACAGTCACAGCAACACACAAGTGAAATCTGTTTCTTCAATTTTCCAAAGGGCAAATCGGTAGATCAGCAATATAGGAGAAAAGCGTGGATTGAATTCTGTATAAGCGCAAAGCATTAAACTATCGTCGCGACGATGTGACTAGAATATATGCTCACTTCATTTTGCCGAAGACGCGTATGAACAAGGACAGTCGCCAAAGTTTTTAAAACGAATACAGTGCAATGAAACGTTTAGAATACAATTGAAAAGGGAAGCGTTGCCAAGTAATAACTTTTCTTACAGTACATACTAGCTTCAATTGCGGTATACTATTTCTACAATGGTCGGATTGACATAAAAAGACACAAAACAGCGCACGCGGCACGCATTATACGCGTGCACCTAATATACAATATTTAACGGCATGGTCTACATTCAATACACCGTTGAAAATAAAAGAAATCCATTAAATAAATGATTATAAGTAAACCACAAACCAAAGGTCCAAGACGCATGTAGAGGTCCTATATTTACAAATATCCCAAAATTAAAATATTGCTTGTTTTTCTCCTACTTCTGGTTCATATTGGTATGATAACACTTCTCCTACTTGGTTCTCGTGAATATTTTCCATTAAAATGACTCAAAAGCACTAATTTTTTTAGAAAACGTATTAAATCTCGATACACGCTATACAAAAATATATTGTTGTTTTGATTCTACCCTGCCATCTACGTCATACGGGTCATATTACCCAAAAGATAATTTTTCGCAAATACGAGCCAAGATGGCCGACGATATATAAATTAACAGTGAAATAACATGCATGTAACTCCTGAACAAAAATGTTTGACACGGTATTAATATCATATATATAGTTAGATGAAGCAACACTTTTAATATAGACAATAAAAAATTTTGTTGCCATTGTCCTTTAATGGTGTAAGGCGACCACACGCTGCTTGCGTATTCTAGCTTGGGTCTTACCAGCGTACAATACAGAATTCTTCTTGTGTTGGTATTCTTCACTTCTTTACAAATCCTTTTGATGAGACCAAGTGTTTTATTAGCCTTGGATACAATGCTTTCTATGTGTTTCGACCAGGATAGGTTGTTGGATATGAGCACACCAAGGTCCTTGAAGGTCGACACTTGTTCGAGTATGTTCTCATTGATTGAATACTGAGTTCGCGTAGGTGCTCTTTTTCCATGTGGGAAAATATTAAAAATAAACTAGATGTTTTAAAAGAGGGAGAAGATGTAACATTTGAGCAACTTCTGAAAGAACTAGATGTTTCAGAATATCAATATATTCTTGCAATTCGATCATCACTAAATTGTCCAACAATATTAACCCCAATGAGTTAAGAATTAATAATTATAATCCTGCTTGCCTCCAAGCATGGAGAGCAGACATGGACATTCAATTTGTGTAAACTTATTCCATCTTTTAAACATGGTTTATTGGTACAGTTAGCTGCAACATAGTAAAAAGGCATATATTTTTCGATCACAAATCTAGTATATTTGTATATGGACTATATGCGCCAAGAGGTAGAATACGCCGACTCACTTGCGTGATGTAACAAAAATCGCTCTTTCCAGTTTCCTTCGAACACGGACGCGTGCCAACAAAAAGCCCACATTTTGCGTGTTCAAACGGCTCTAAAAATTTTTCGTTTCGATGAAATAAAAAAATTCTTTCGCTACAACACCATACTGAATGAGCACTTTCAATAGACAAAAAATCAATTTTTTTGTCAGGGGCACTTTAAAATTTGAATGCCATTTCAATTGCAATATGCTGAAATATTGATGGAGTACATATATTAGAAAAAGGAGACCTTTAGAAATCAACCATTGTTATAAAATCCTGCTAAGCCCACGAGTGCGTAACATGCGATCTACGTACAATATGCATGGCAGATTGTTCCCAGGAACAGACAATCTTTTGTTAAAACGTTATTTCAAATTAATTCTAAAGGTCTCCTTTTTCTAATATATGCACCATCAATATTTCACGCACTACGGTTCAGCGGCATAATGTGCAATTGAAAAGGCATTCAAATTTTCACAATATGGTTGATTTCTAAAGGTCTCCTTTTTCCTTATACACCCTGTACATATAAACAGCCCCAGCAAAAAAACTAAAAATTTTTCAATGAACCACTGTCACGGTATAAAACAATTAGCGCAAATGCTCATTATAGATTCGGAGTAATTAGTCCCTTCGACTTTGGCTCCCATATTAACTAAAAGTCACTAATAATTATACAATAGTCAATATACACAATGCAACGTTTGCCTAAAACTGTCGCATACAACCTTCTAACAACTTCAGTTATAGGCCTATTCTCTGTAAATCAAGCACACAACTCGCCTACCTGTACGTTGTCTTAAGTGAGCTATAATTTATGTGCTTGATTTCTACGCAGTATACAGCTATCTCAATAAAGGTTGTCCCCAGAGCAAAGCGGAAAAGTCGAATACGAGCGCGAAAGGCTGCTGGGAATCGTTAATAAATTAATGAATTTATTAGCGATTCCCAGGAGCCTTTCGTGCTCGTATTCGACTTTTCCGCTTTGCTCGGGGGACAACCTTAATTGAAGTAGCTGTATATTAAAGTTGTGTATTGTAAATAGGGAGTAAGCCTAAACTAATATAATTCTCAAATGTTGCTCGCTATATTAAAACCAATACACCATAATAATCTTTATCAATGACTTTTACTAATAACTGACTAGTAATGGTTAACAATTTCCCTTTTCCGTTACTCTACATTTTGGGGCATTTTGCTAAGAGCATACTGAAGCAAAGATTAGCAAATTTCTCCGCGTGCTTAGTATGTACTGCATCATTAGTGGTAATTTGCCAGGTCATTTTACCATTAATAGTGTGGATAAAATGAAAAAACGTATAAAGCGAACCATGATTAACAGCATTAATAAAACATTCATGTAGTATATAAGTCTCTGGCTGATGATTGCCGAAATTGAAACATCCAACACTTGATATAAAATTGCAGCCGGCTTTCGCAAATACTGAATCATCACCGGCCAAGAGATTGAATAGTTCTCTTGGCTCTAGTAGTCCAGACACGACTGTTATATCGGATACATATGCTTCTTTCTTAACAAAATCCTTTATTCGCTGCGTATTCTCTCGGGCTAATTTCCAGAAGTCAGCAGTATCGCCAGCCAAATATTTCATGTAAATATTTTCGCACCCATATACAAAATTTCCAAGGTATTCTTTGTGCGGTTTCGGATCACAGAAGCGTTGAGCATTGATGGAAAACGGCAATCCTAACTCCATTGCAGAATTAGGTTGATCCGGCCCTATATTGGCTATAAGCTTACAAAAAGCTAAATGGGCTGCGGCTGCGATAGCTCCTGTTACTGTGCTATCATTCACTTTACAGACTTGTAAAATACCCTTCGTTTCCTTCTCTGTAAAAACCTTTACACTCAGTCGACCTGGTACAGCAGTAGACAATTCTGAGTTTCGTGGAAACTGTGCGTGATACGGATTAGTCGGCTTCTTTTGTATCAGACGTTTGAACATCTTTTCCATGCAAAATTTCAGGATCAGTCGTAGGTCACAATAAGCGAGCATAAAATTAAACAATGAATGCCAAAAGCGTCCCTGTGTGATAATCTCGTGGAAATATGGCAGCAGATCTAGGCTTGAGATTTCTTCGTCAGCAGTGGTAGTACCGTTTCCTAGTTCATTCATATAATTAAGAAATTGCTCGCAAAACTTCACAGAGCACACGCCGTCAATACAGGCATGGTTGAAGTTAAACATTAAGGTATTTGCATAATCTTTAGTATCCGGCATGAATTCCTCTTGTAATATTACGACTCGCCATAATAGACCATTCCCTCTCGGTTTTGCTGTATATTCAAACCAGACACTTTGCCAGTCAGAAGCCTTTACATCAGAGGTAGTAATGTCTAACATTGTAATGACTTCGTTGATTTCCTTGATTTCGAAATATCTATCTCCGTTCGCCATAGTTGCTATCACTGCTCGAAGCATCGGCTGTCGTTTGGATAACAGCACCAGAGCGTCATGAACGTGCTGGTGTACCAGGCTCTGTTTTGATGTTATTGATATCAACAAACATATATTGGTTGTACCAGATTTTTCCATGGAAAATATATCGAGTAATTCTTCCAAATGGCCAATTCGACGTCGGTTTGAATCGGCTGAGTTTGGTGACAATACCCTCACCTCGCCAGTGAGGTATTTCATGATCTTTGAGAGCGTGTATAAAACAAATACACAGACTACAGTGAGAAATGCTTGTACCCAGAATCCACTAAACATATTGAATGACATCCGACAGTCAAACTAAGCCTACTGTACGTACCAGGTAGAAGTTTTATCAATTGTACAAGTCTGCCTTTCAAGTAGCAATTGTAGTTGCAACATCTGCAATTTTAATGGTGTGCTTTCACGCGTGCCGCTGTGACGTCACTAGAATTGAGCGTCCGCCATGAACAGAGAGTTTTAGATAGACGTTTACGGCGAACGTCAAACCGCCCTAACGAAGTTTGTGATTTTACAACTTTATTATAACAGCTTTTAAACCAGTTTTGAAATATACTAGGGTACTTGCAAGGTAGGGATTGCTGCGGGAATTAAAAGCAAATAGAACTACAGTAAACATATTAAGCACAGTTATTACTCGCAGCGACTAGTGAGCTGTGAGCTTAAGGCCTTAAGCCAGTAAACAATTGAATCTTACCATGAACGGAACTGAGAAGAAGCAATATATATTGAAGTAGCAAAGACCAGGGTTTAAAGGGCAATCAAAGGTGACAGATATTAAACATGTGCGTCTCAATGACATACAGGTAAATTAAGATCAGATTTCATAGAGTGTCCCTATATATGTCGTGTGTCGTGGGTTAAAAGTCGTGTGTCGTGAGTAAAGTCGTTGGTAAAGTCGTGGGTCATAAAATGTGCTAAAAACGCATTTTTTCACGAAAATATTATTTTTATTGTTAATATTTTTTTTCGTACTTTTTCCTTTTATGCGCTACATAAATACAGGAAAATTTAACGCAACAAATCTCCAGTAATAAAATAAAATACATGCTGTCTCGAGCTAACGCTCGAGCCTCAAATTTTGCCATTTTGGCTCCTAGCCTAGTATATGCCGGTTCGTGGCCCTTAAAGATAGACACTGAACATTTCATGTATATATATGTGGCTTTCGGCAATATTCCATAAATTGCTACGATTTGGGATGATTTCCCGATTGAAAACCGAAATGATTTGTGCGATGTCGGAGTATTTGCCAACAAAGCGCGCTAGCCGCTGTTATTTTTTTTTATTTTTACAACCTTACAACCTTATTAATGTCACCTTTAAACCTGCAACTAACCCCTATGCCGCACGCAACTTCGACCCTAACAACTATAACATAATCGTCTCCAATAATCAAGAATTCTTCCGACAATCCTATTTCCCACGCACTGTCATTCTCTGGAACAATCTATACCACCGAACATCAAAGCCGCCCATTCCCTACAGATCTTCAAGCACCATCTACAATCTTATTACAAAGCCAAACTGTTTACCTACATACCACCATAGTTAATCTTGTTCTATAATTCGTTGTATCCTATATGTTAAGTTCCATGTAATCTGTGATATGTTCGTGCATAATTGTCCTAGTACGTCTCGTTATCCATTAATTGTTAAGGGGTCGAATATCAATTGGAATTTAGTTTCTGTTTTCTTCTCCTGTCGCAGCATTCTCTAGTTATTGTTATTGTTATCTCTACGTAAATGTATATCTTTAATGTGTGACAAAATGAATAAATAAAATAAATAAATAAAATAAATTTTGACAGAATATGATAGGCCTACCTCTACACTTTTCATCCGTAATACATATAAATGCGCGCATTGTAGCCTAATCATATACATATCGTTTAATTTAGCTTCAAAACTTGATAAAATTATATAACAGTTTACCACGTGCGACCAGACAATCAACGTCATTAAGCTGCTTTAAAATAAGAGCCTATAAATACTTTTTAGATACTTATATATAAGTTATTTGTTTGTACGACTTTTATATGTTCTTGTTGTACTGATGTCCAATTTAATGTGTAGTTTTAATAGTAAATTTGTAATAAGTAGACGATAACACTAGTTGAACAGAAGGCCCAGTGTAGGATTAGCGTTGCTAAACTGGTTTTTGTATAATTGCACCTTCTTTAAATAAAGTTTATTATTATTATTATTATTATTATTATTATTATTATTATTATCATAAAAAACAAGTTATTCGTGTTGGTTCCGAATAATAGTAATAGTAATTCTCGTCAGTATTGCAGTTCAGTGCAGAATTTTATTTTGATACAAAAAAATTACGCAAAGTAACTATAAGTGTTGAGAAAAATTTATAGAAATTTGGTTTTAGCAGAAGCTTCACGATTTCCGAGGTAAAGATAGAGTATAAACTATAATTTTTTAGAGGGGGCCAAATTTCCGAAGAGGGGGCCATCCGTTTAAAGTGAATTTTCTGGTATAGAATCGCCGATCGTGACACTCTATTATATTGTTCAGTTATTTGGGATATAAGCAGCCTAGTCCCAGTCGTTCTGAAGCAAGATGTAGTAAGAGACTGGGACCTAGGTGTGACGTCACCGCTAGAGGTGCTTCAGAACGCCTAGCAGATTTCAGTATTTTTAATATGGCGGAAAATTTATATATACAAATAACCTTGTATAAATACGACAATGTTCGTTGATCATGTTCGATGTCTATATAACCAAATTCAAACTGTATTAAAAATGTGCTCAATTAAAAAATATATACAAATTTACGATACTGAGTCTGAGCAATGGTCGTATAATCGTTGATGATATTTATATACTCGCAAGTTGTAATCAACACTAGACCATGATACTGGTATACACAACTACGCTTTCTAGTTGACAGTTTTAAGTAGCTGAGGAGATTGGGAATATTTGCCTCACATGACTGTGTTGTCAAAACATTTTTAGTCGGAGACTCGGCATAATTTTCAAGCTTCTAGATATCATTTAATATGGCTTAAAATTTTAGTAAACACGAGTCATATTTAGCCAGTTAATCCATTCTGACCGTATGGTAGAGAAACGTAGCCTATTTCATTGTTCCGACAGCATTAGAGCAGAACGAATGACTTAATTATAAACGCAAAGGAAATTTCCATAACATTTTCAATTTACAAATGCGGTATGCTTGGTAACCAGGCCAGGGACCACTTTTTTGAAATCAGGGACCATTTTACCGAAATCTGCTAGGCTCTCTCGCTGAAGCGTTCCGCACAGCACACCCAGGCATAAAACTTTTAAGACTCATTTAAATATGTCAAAGCAGCGAATAGAGAGAGAGAGCCTGGGACTAGGCTGGGATATAAGAATTGTTTTTGTGATCAGCATATTTAACGCTTTTTTAACTATTCATGATTGTATAATTTCAATGTTTCAACTGCTGCAGAATTTCCCCTGATATTTATCGCGTGATCTACTATGGCGTTTGTCGCATTAACGTTGTCTCCGCGTAACTTACTCGTTATTTTGCATATTTTCGTATACTTGTAAAGTTTTACTAGAGACTTGTCCCACTCTACACCAGCGTACTATCTGAACTGTGAAATTTTGTAAGTTTCTCAGTTATTGGCAAATCCCAATATGAATGAATATTCACATTCTCGTATTAATCGTCGCTCAACTCCACCAAGCCTCTCTCGTCAGATATGATACTAACCCGTGGACTTCATATTGCCATGAACTTTTCCATTTCCCTGATACTTATATCTTTATCTAATGACATTTCTACTAATCCCGGTCCTGACTGCAGCTCTTCTACATCATCACCTAATGTGCGAGGACCTACCAATCCTAGATCCCGTTCTTCGTTTAATATTCTGTATCAGAACGTCAGAAGTCTGCATGAAGGCGAATCATCGTAACCCTTCAACTAATTGCGTCGTGAATAAGCTTTCATATCTACATGACATTGTTTATGGCAACAGTGTAGATGTGAATTCATGTGATTGCTTTGGTGGAGACTTGGCTCACTGTCAATGTGCGTGATGATGAAATCTTGCCTGTTGGATACAATTAAGCTAGTCGGCGAGTTCCCAGCCTCCCAGGCTAGAGCCTGGGAACGAGGTTGCGGTGGTGTTCTGCTTGCCGTAAAAGATACAGTCAAAACTGAACCTTCTGGCTTCGTATCAGACTCGTTGGAACTTGTATCTCTGGTTATTATCCCCTCGTCTTGTAAAGTATTTGTTGCTGCCTGTTACCGTCCACCTGACTCCACTAATGTTTTCATTAATGAACTAACCCGCTTTTTAAAAAATTTGTCCAAGAATCGCAATTCAAAGATGTTGTTCTAATTGGCTACTTCAACCACCCTAATATCCAATCGTCTGACGGTTCAGGTTTCTCTACTTCAGCTTCAGAAACTAGTTTCATTGACAGTATCACTGAGTTTAGTTATCTGCAACTGATTAACTCACCTACCCGCGGTAACAACCTCATCGACCTGGTTTTAACTATAAATGAACATTTGACCGACAACTTTGAAGTTACTGATGACAAGGGCCTTTTTTAACATACAAGCTGGGGGGGGGGGGGCAAATGCCCCCCAGTCCCCCCTTGTGCCCCCCACGAAATCACATTTTGCCCCCCCCCCCAGGAAAAGTCCCTTTTCCCTAAAATTATACAAACAAACCAGCGAAGATTAACAAATACATAAACGGAAAGTAAGTTTTAGGCTTTATCCTTTGTCCTTGTTTAACAAAATCGATTTAAATTGTTTCTTTTTTCTACCACTAAGTAATGATAAATTATTGTTAATAATTTTTGTATCTGCGCGGAGCGCTAGATACTATGCTATCGAGTTTGTGCGTGCGTTAAACACTCAGGTCGACTAATTAGGGCTGTATGCCTGCGAACAGGCCGTAAACAAAGATGGCGGCTTTCTACAGAGCCAGTATGGAATCCGTCAATATTTTACGCCGGAGGTTACGCCAAGTGGACACCGACTAATTACGCCACATTCGGAAATATACTAATGGACGATTTTTAATGCAAACGGAAATCACCGCAAAATATCACCTGACCAGTCGGTATGAAGAGTACCATTTCAAATAAATATCCAAAAAGCTCAAGACCTTAAAATATTACAATCGCGATGTATTGTACATAGCATTAACTACAGCAGCATTACGCAAACACGGTCTTTACTTCAATCTTATACCTCTTGAATTATATTCATTTTTATACAAACTTCAAGAGTATATGAAGTAGAGGCTATGTGTATATTAC